AAGTAAGCAATAGCTTCGAATTTCCTTGCCCCCCGTCGTAGTGAATTGTGCCGGGTACCGCTTATAAGTATTGTATAGCTCTCTATAGCGGAGCGAGCCTCTGTAAGCGACTTCGTCCTTAGTTTTTAGGAGCCTAACAAGCCTGTACCGGGTCTTACGGTCCACTAAAATAAGCCCGTAAGGCCTGCTGTTCAGTGGGGTGGGTCGAATCACAAATATATCCCCTTCTATTCGACTCAGCGCATACGGTGGGTCCGTTACAGGCCTTTTAAAGGGTTTACGCAGTAATTTAGCTGCGTCACAGCTCTTACAGGTTAGATCTATAGGCTGTACCTTCTGTAAATTGGGTATGCCCTTAGTAATTAGGGCAGTTTTCTTCAGAAGGTCTAGGCCTATATGGCCTAATCGAACGTGCCAGAGTCTTGCAGCCTGAATCAACGCCTGGTTACGTTAGTAGGGCGAATGCCCTATACGGCGAGGGGTAGGCGCCGTAGTGGTAGTTGGTTTAGGCGCTGTGATAGGCGCTGTGGTAGGCGCTGTGGTAGGCGCTATGGTAGGCGCTGTAGTAGGCACTGTGGTAAGCGCTGTGGTAGGCGCTGTGGTAAGCACTATAGTAAGCGCTATGGTAGGCACTGTGGTAAGCGCTGTGGTAAGCGCTGTGGTAGGCGCTGTGGTAGGCACTGTGGTAGGCGCTGTGGTAGGCACTATGGTAAGCGCTGTGGTAGGCGCTGTGGTAGCTGGAAATTTAGGCGTAATGGTGGTTAGTTTAGGGTCTAAATCGCTATCTTCAGTGCTGTAGCACCAAATAGAGCCGTATGCTTGTGGCGTTGAATGCTCTATTTTAGCTGGAACTGTAGTTTTGGTAGTAAAAAAAAACCTATTTTTTTTAAAGTTAAGGAGGGCCAGTAGCTTCCTAAAAGCCGAATATAAGCGGTCCTTAAAAAGGGTCCTACCGGAAACGTAGAGCCTGTAACCACTAACTATATTTAGTGGAAAGTCTGGAATATAAAGGGTCTCCTTGAGGGCTACAGTAGTATATACCGCTTTTTTGCCCTCAAAACCACTAAAGAATTCAACTTCTATAGTGCCTTTGCTTTGCGGCTTAACTGGGCCACCGCCTATACCAACACAGCCCAAGGAAGAAAAGAACTGTAAGTTAATAAATAAAGCTTTATTGTTATAAATATACACTGTAGAGCCTATATCGAAGAGCTACTAGGTACGTAGTGGTTTGGGGTGCGGCTATAGGCCTAAGAGTATAAGTAAGGAAGCGGGGCTCTCAGAGGACTCAGGGGTTCAGGGGTCATATATATAAGCGGTCTGCTTCGGACATTCTATTTTAGACAGGACATCGACTTTTATTCTTTTCTTCGTATTTTGTGCCTTGCACGCGTGCAGGCAATTCTGGCCCTCTGATCAGGCCAATCCGGTGCTTATTATGTGGCCTGCGAGCCCATAGTGTCTTTTCTTTGTCCTACGTGAAGTGCGGCCTGCGAGCGAGTCACTGTCACGCAGGTATGTTTATTCTGAGACCTGTTAAGGGTATATTTGTGGTGTTGTGGTTGTTTTGTGTGTTTTCTCACCATTTCAGTGGTGTAGCGGTTAAGTGGCTAAATTTAGGCAGTTCTTCGGGAGGATCAGGCCCTAGGTCGCTATATTTTTTAGTTATATTACTTCCAAATACAGTGCCTAAGTTAAAGTCGTAGCCTATAGTAAAGGCCTCGGTAGCGGGTAGGTCCTTTTAGTCCTTGCGGTCGTCTTTACGACTATCCTTACGGCCGTTTTTGCGGCCGTTACAGCGGTCGTTACAGCGGTCGGTACAGCGGTCGTCCTTTTTCAGGCCTTTCTTCCACTGCTTATTGCCCTGTTTTTTATAGGGCTTTTGGTCCTTATTTGGTGAGGACCGGTAAGCTTAAGAAGCCTGAAAGTTAGGCTTCTTTTCGCTACTAACAGGCTTATAGGTAGCCTGTAGGGCCTGTAAATGGTGGGCAGTAGAAGTAGCCGAATTAGGGGTTTTAGCTAAAAAGTCTTCCTGGAAATACAAAAGGCTTAGCCTAGTAGGCTTGCCTTTTATATGGTAGAGCTATTGCTCCTGCCGAAGTAGGCCTTTACAGCGCTCGGCCCACTATGGAAAATAGTTTTCTAGTACGTTAAAATAGTAGTTTAGTTAGTCGATTTAGGCTATTTCAACGCCTAAAGCCCCGAGCTTACTTATATAGGTATTAAATTGGGCGTTGAAATCCACGATAGGTATAGACCTATCGAACTGCAAGTAGTAGTAGGCCTTATATAACTCGTTTCGGAGGGTAGGCTGCGCCGGAGCGTACTGTGAGCGAAGGCGCTTATAGGCCACAACGGGGTCGGTTTCGAAGGCTATAGTGGATAACGGGCCTTCCTTTAGTATATTTCTAAGGGTTAATAGTAAGGCTGCCTTTTGTAGGTCGGAAAGCCGGGCGTCTACCGAATCAGGATTTTCTAGAAATTTAGGTATTCCAAGGGCCCTGAATTATATAGAAATAGCCTGGTGCCACTATTGGTAATTATCGGGTCCTAAAAGGCGCTATTGTTCAGCGAGGTTTAGGGACTGTTTGGCGAGCTCTTTTATAGTAAGTGTGCTAAAGGTCGCTATAAAAGGCTCTGTAATAGGTGCTGAAAGTACTGAAGCAGCTGGAGCCACGGGAGGCTCGGTAGTGTGGGTGGCCGGTACAGCTACTGGCTGTTTAGTAGCCTGAGCTTTAAGCAGTAATATAACCTGCCGAAGCCTGTCCTTAATGGTGTCGATACGGGCCTATAAGGCCTATACTATAGGGCTAGTAGCCTTTGTAATACCTAAATAGTCTTGATCCATAGGCTGGTTAGCTATAGTAAAAGCGAGGACTTGGTAGAAATAACCGTATAGGTTAATAAGTAGGCTTCTCGGAAGCCGTACAGCCTGTAGTATAGTGCTGTAAGTCGACGATTGGCCTAAAGGTATTAGCCTAGGGTTGTGGTCACAATAGTGGAAAGTCTGTAGTACAGCACTAATTCCACTAAAGAAACTTCTTAGTAAGAAGCCGTACAGCCTGTAGTACAGTGCTGTAAATTGGCCTAGAAGTATTGGCTAAGGTTGTAATTACAGCAGTGGGAAAGCCTGTAGTACAGCGCTAGCTCCACTGGAAAAGGCTTCTTAGTAAAAAGCTGTACAGCCTGTAGTACAGTGCTGTAGGTACGTCGACTGGAAGCGCACAAGTAGGCTAGATTCCGGGCTAGGTGGTTGCCCGGGCTCATAACCTGTTAGCTGGTAAGCCCTGATAGGCCTATAATATAGAACCTATACAGGGTTGCTGTAAAATACAGCAGTGCGCAAGCGGAAGCGGGAGGATACGACGGCAGTGCCGAAGGAAGGTAAAGCACTGTAATACAGTGAGGTATAAGGAATAAGAATTGCCTTTATTACCCTTGGCCTTGGCCTTTGGCCTTGGCCTTAAGCTTTTGCCCTTAAGGAAAGAAAGAGAACTATTCTACAGAAGAGAGGAGAGGTCTATATATAGGGCCTTCGTAGGCCTACTGTGGGTCCTGTAGGCCCTGAAAGCCCCTATACCACTTTGGGGTATTTAGTGGGCTTAGGTGGGTCTAGTGTAGACTCACGGAAATCCATAGAACCTTCGGCAGCAGAGGTGCCCTGTAAATCACACTATTGTGGCAACTTACTACGTAAGCCTGTAGCCACTTTGGAAGGTTCTAGTATCCATTGACTAAGCCTTAGGCCACAGTAGCCCTGTAAGCCTTTAAGGGTCCCTTGTAAAGAATATTCTAAAGGGATCAAAGCCGGGAAGTTCCATTACTGCTTATAGCAGTACTGCCCACTGTAATATCAATCTGTAGGGCAGTAAATAGGGCACTTAGTAGTACCCACACATTAACAAAAACATTCACTGTTGAGCTCATCAAAAGCCAGGTCAACTTCACCTTCAGCTCTTCCACAACCGTTTCCATTTCCTCCAGTTTAGAGACCGTAACATTTGTACACCCAAGGCACCATGGACACTGGACCCGATGTGTCCGATCCTCTCTTTCTAGACCAGGCGTTTGAAAGACTTCTGTCTCAAGCTTCAAAGATCCACGCAGAGAGCAGGCAACAGTCAAAGGCCAAGACTTGGCAGAAATCGCTTGATTCTGCACTCGAACGAGAAATGGGACATTCGCACATGATACAGTTGGTAGAACAGTTAACCCAACAGGTCAACGAAAAGCTCGAGATTGCTTTACACGACTCACCCACCCAAAACGACTCCGAAACATTCACCAAAGTCTTTCTCAAATCTCTGGAAGGGAGGCTACGTTGTCATATCGAAAGCTCGATCCAGCGGGCGTTACGATCAGTCCCTGGCATCCTCACTACTCCACTTCCGTGGCCGACGCACAAAGCAGCAATAAACCAGTCCGAGCTAGATGAATCCTTTCCAACCGGATTTGCTCATTATGTTGGTGCAAGACCACGTTACCAGATAGGTAACCTCACCCAGGATGCTTTGGGAGAATCACTGCGCTACAGTATTGGTGGAGTGGAATCCCTCTCTCCCGACGGGCTGGCAAAGATGAACACACTGAGGAAGCGATTCGAAAACGGATTTGGCTATGACCTCGGTCATGATTCCTCGGACTGGAAGTCGATGGAGGAAAATCAATCCAACCGCAAAGACAGCACATTCCGGAGGTTGTTGGTGAGGCTAGTAGGCAAAGTCTTGCCTGTTAGAGTGACATACACCGAAGCTGAACGACGCCGAAGGTGGGTCGACTTTGTTTCCAAAAGACCACCCAAAGAAGTCTCGTTCTTGGTCGATTCTCTCGTGCGTTTCATCTTGGCGCTTTGTGGAGGGGCGCTTGTTATCGTTCCGATTGTCATCATGGTTCTCTTTCCCGGGATCTTGCGTTGTCTCATTGTCACGGGGGTTTCGGTTCTCACTGGTGGGATTTTCGCAGCAAACTTCCAATGTCACGGCGCTGGGGGTCACAGCTACCTATTCAGCTGTTCTTGTGGTGTTTCTGGGGTTGAGCATGGAATCTGAAGGTGGTGGTATCGCAAGGGGGGCATCCTCGTCTTGAAATGGTGTTGTTTGTATGGTGCTTTGTCAACTTCTCACAGTCATTTCGTTTCTCGATGAATAGCCTCGATGGACCAACAACCTACTAGCTTTCAGCTCCTCCAATATTTCATGCCAACTCAGCGTGCTACGAGATCCTTTCAACATGAAGCAGCAGAGGTGGGGTTACACAATCCTTGGCTAAATGGGGGTTAGTGCGTGTTGTGGTGCGTGGGGACAGCTACAAAGTGGGGGCTTGCCTACCCCTGTCTAGGCCGCATCTCGTATCTCGTATAACCCGTACTTCGCATTGCAGGGGAGAGACCAACAAGGTACATAGTTGTACAGCATCAAGCAGCGCTTGTTTAATTTCTCTCCTAGTTGCTCCCTTGTCTGATGACGTTGTCATGGAAAAGTTTCAGTCAATTCCTCCCTTCCTGAAGCCATTGACTTGTTTGCCAAGCATCCGGGCTTCCTCGTGAATACCAACGTGATGTTCTACAAATATCCAGATAATGCACCTTGACTGAGTTGCTGTTTCCTCTTCAGGCAGCTCGACAACTTGCAGCAACTCTGAGTCGCAATGGGAATTCTAAAATATTTGGCAGTGGCTGGCCTTATAGCATCCACATCCAGTTCGAGCCTTCCCGATGTCTGCACGACGGCTTTTGTTGAATCGTCTCTTCCGGCACCAGACTTCTTCCCAGGACTCGAACTAATCGCCGGTTCTGTCACAGCCCAACCTGTCACCAACGTCACTGCTCCACCAGACAGCACCCATCCTGGCGCCACCGGTCGCGACTTTTGCAACGTCACTTTCGCCTACCGCCATGTCGGCCGCCCTACTGACCGAGTCAATCTCTGGCTCTACCTTCCAAGTCCCGCTCAGTTCAAGAAGCGTTTCCTGGCTACAGGAGGAGGAGGGCTGTCCATGACTTTGGGCGCACGAGGACTCGCAACTGGTCTCCCCTATGGCGCTGTCTCCATCACGACCGATGCCGGCTTCGGCGGTTTCGACTCCGACCTCAGCCGTGTTATCCTCTACGGCAACGGCGCCATGAACTACGATGCCCTCATCGCCTACTCCTACAGGGCAATGCACGAAATGACTGTTCTCGGCAAGGAGCTTACCCGCAAGTTCTACAACGCCTCCAACTCGACCAAGATCTACTCCTACTTCCACGGCTGCTCCGAAGGTGGGCGCGAGGGCATGTCTCAAGTCCAAAAATACGGCACGACCTTTGACGGAATTTCCGTTGGTTCCCCTGCGTTCCGGCATCCTATCTTCCACTACCACGGCCCTCTTTCTCAGCGCAAGATCAACTACTTTCCCTCTGTTTGCGAGTTCTCACGCATCACCGCCGATGCTATTGCCTTCTGCGACCCCCTCGACGGCAAAACCGACGGCGTAGTCGCACGTACCGATCTCTGCTTCGCCCGCTTCAATGCCTCGTCCTCGATTGGAAAACCCTACAACTGCTCCGCTGTTCCCCAGCTTGGCCAGCCACCCATCGCCGGCACTGTTTCCGCCAAAGCCGCCGCCGTGGCAGCCGAGACCTGGCGCGGCATGTACGACTCGAACAACAAGCTCATCCACCCATTCTTTGCTCCCTCGGTGGAGTTTGGTGACTCTATCACAATCCTCAACCCCGCCACGAACCAACTCGAGCCGTTCCCCAACCCTCTCTCCCCGGCGGTGGTCAATTTGCTGATCAAGGAAGTCTACTCTCCTACCTTGCCGCTGGATGAAGTCAGCCCTGATATTGTCCGCGAGTGGGTCAACGATTCAATGGCCAAGTACCTTTCTGGCATCTATACTCTCTGGCCGGATCTCACGCCGTTCAAGTCTAACGGTGGAAAGATGATATTCTGGCATGGGGAGGCTGATGCTGCGATTCCGGCGGTTTCATCAACCATGTATCAAGACAAGGTCAGGAAGACGATGTACCCTGGTTTGGGCGTGCAGCAAGGTTACGCCGAGATGTCGAAATGGAACAAGCTGTTTTTGGTGCCTGGAGGTGGGCACTGCGATCCTGGGACGGTGGATCCTCTGGGGGCGTTTAAGCCGAACAGCGCGGCGTGGCCAACAGAGGTGCTGAAGAGTTTGATGGAGTGGGTGGAGGAGGGGAAGGATTTTGAGAGATTGGAGGGGATTGTGCAGGGTGGTGAGAAGAAGGGAGAGAAGGAGGGGATTTGCGGGTTTCCTCTGAGACCTGTTTGGGGCGGCAACAATGGAAGTGATGGCAAGGGCAGGGGGAAAGGAAAGGGGAAGGGTAAGGGGCAACAGCAAAGTGAGGACGAAGAGGAGCTGCAGTGTGTCTTTGACCAGCAGAGCTTTGAGTTCTTTACTCCTAAGCTGGACAGTTTTTTGGTGGATGCCTATTAGTTTCTTTTGTTGGGCCCGTCGAACGGGATCAGGGGTCTGTTTCTTTTCTCTTGGTCAGATCGGACATTGGGTAGACGGCTTCTTTCTTGAAATTCTTTCTTCATTTCTCGGTGCATATACCTCACCATGTACATTCAGCTAGACCACAATCGGCCAAACAAAAAAAGATATGGCCTGATTTATGTCTCCGATATAAGACGCGATTATTAATCGAGATGATTCTCTCGGTGTCGTGTCTCATTGTCCAGAGAGACAATGCAAAAAGAAGTTGGGACTCGGATACCGGGAGTCGAACCCGGGGCTGTTGAGAGAATAGACACTTCTGAGAAGTGAGAGTCAACTATGTTACCGCTACACCATACCCGATGAGGATGGTTCCGATTGGATTGATGACTTTGTGAGCGGATTTTGGGGTTGTGTCGGAGAAAAGTGTGTCCCTGTCACCCTGTGTCGTGCTGTGTTGTGTGCGTGTGGTTTGTTTGCCCTAGGGAAAACTTTTTGGGGCGGTGGGGACCAGAAGTGGGTACCGAGCGGGCTCTGGATGGGCTTCTTCAGCTCAGCTGCATTGCATTGCATTGCATTGCCGGACCGTAACGTTGATGCAGGCGGTGTCTTGGAGGAGACAGCTGTTGGGGTGTGGAAAAGGCGACGAGTTGTCTGTTGGCTGAAGTGACTGTCACAGTGTCAAGTTTGTCCGGACTCCGAACAAATGAAGGGGGGCGCCGCCCACACGCACCTCACTCAGACTGCCAACAATTGACTGCATCATCCTGCTCGCTCTCGATCGATCAAACTGTTTTTGGTTCCCTTCCATTACCGTCACATTTTTTTCGTCATGGGTAGGTGGTGGACGACCCTGAATTCGGGGTCTAGGGAGGGTTTAATCGACATGATAGAGTCCGTGCTCACTCACAAAATCACCGAGTACTCGGTTGAGACACGGCAGGGTCTTTTTGCCACATGATTTGCCCATGGTAAAGGTACTTTGGTATATGTGGTCTGGAAAACTGGCTGCATTTTGGGGGCTTGCGTGGTCTCATACACACGTGATTGGGGCCAAGGTACATGAGGGAGGCTCTACATCATCTCATCATCCCATCATCCGATGTGAGTCAAGGGCCATCAAGGTTGTATTGACAACACGTTCCACGTCACATACCGGGCAACTCTCGGCCGGACACACAAAGAGAGTAGGTGATTCAACGACATTTCGCCTCAACAGAGGGATTCGGGAATAATGTGATGGTTGATGAAAGAGAAGCTCAAACTCCGATTGGGAGGGGCGTAATCATCACCGCACAACACAAGTCATCGCCGTCCTAATTCACGAGCCGTCAGATGATCGGCGCACCCACCTCTGTGCGTTTTTGATGTAAAATCATGGCAGACCCAGCTGAGCGGTTGTGGCACAACGCCCGAAGATTCCACCGGAATGGTCGCCGAAGATGTGGGTCGGCTGCCGTGTGTGACTCCGGAGAAACCATCTCCGGGCTGGGCCGAGAGTACAGTGTCAGCAAGAGAAACTCCGACGTGCATTCCTGAGCCTCCAATGTATGGTTTACTAGATTCCGGCAAGTTCCGCCAACTCCATAATACCACACCATCATCATCATCATCACCGTCACACACTCTCATGTCGGCATATGGCGAGGGAGGATGATACCAGATAGGAAGGAGGGAGTCGGATCAGGAAGCCCTGTGGTGGAGAGGCAATGAAAGGGATCCAGAGTGGTGTCCAGGTTGGTGGTACAAATAGTGCTGGGTGCTGCCTTTTCTTTCCATAGAGGGAATATCAACCGTCCTTTCTTGACCAAGTTGTTATTCTTGCTTGTCTAGTGACCTCACACATACATCTCCACAATGGAAGACAGGACAGTAGTTGTTTACGGGGAGAAGGACTGGAAGAAGGATGAGATCATCGAGACCAGGATAGACCTCTCTTATCCAGTATCACCAACAGATTCAGACCTCTCCTCCCTCCCCTCCCCATTGAAAGAGAAAGCAGACCTCGAAGCCCAGACCACACCAGAAGAGGAACCATTACGAAAGCGCCTCGGCTTCATCCGGTACACAGCCCTCAACGTCTACCGCCGCCTATTCACCCTCGCCTTCATCGGCAACATTATTCCTCTGATCATCTACCTTGTCAGAGGTGCCGAGCCTCTCGACTTGGTCAATGCCTCAGCCATCAACCTCGCCGTATGTGGCCTCTGCCGGCAACCGCTCGTCCTCAACCTACTCTACCTCATCTTTGGTTCTGTCCCGCGTTCAGCCCCGACAACAATCAAACGCCTCGCCTGCCGCATTTTTCACCTCGGCGGTGTCCACAGCGGCACTGGCGTCGCTTCCCTCATCTGGTACATCGGATTCGCGGGCACCTACACCTACCAATTCAACCCCGCCACCGCCAACCCTATAAGCATTGCCGTCCTAGCCCTGATCTACTCCGTCTTCGCCCTCCTCCTCTCCATCATCGTGGTGGCCCACCCCACCATCCGGAGAAAACACCACGACGTCTTCGAGCTAGTCCACCGCTTCGCCAATTGGGGAATTCTCGCCCTCTTTTGGGTGGTAATCTCCCTCCTCGGCACACAAGAACCGTCCCTAGAAAAATTCCTCCTCAACCTCCCGGCCTTTTGGATCTTGATCCTCTTGACAGCAGCCACAATCCACCCCTGGTTGCTCCTCCGCAAAGTAACCGTCACTCCTGAACCCCTTTCCCCCCACGCCATCAGACTTCACTTTGATCACACCACCGTCAAGTTTGGTCAAGGTATCCAAGTCGCCAAGCACCCTCTCAAAGACTGGCATTCCTTCGCTTGCTTCCCCGACCGCTTCGACAATGTCAAGGACGCCGCCTTGGAAAACACAAAGTTCAGCTGCATCGTTTCGCGGGTGGGCGACTGGACCAAAGACACCATTGTCACTCAACCAACCAAGCTGTGGAAGAGGGGTGTGCCGACGTATGGATTCGGGTATGTCTTTCGCATGTTCAGCCGCATCATCGTTGTCACAACCGGCAGCGGGATCGGGCCGTGCCTGTCCTTTTTGGCGGATGAGAACAGGCCTAGTATGAGGGTGTTGTGGCAGACGAGGAGTCCGCTCAAGACATATGGGCAGAGGACGCTGGATTTGGTCAGCAGGATGGACCAGAACCCCGTGATTATCGATACGAGCGAGAAGGGGAAGAGGGAGGAGATGCTGCCGCAGGTGTTGAGGTTGGTCAAGGAGTTTGACGCCGAGGCGGTTTGCGTGATTAGTAACCCGGCGGTGACGAAGGAGGTGGTGTTTGAGTTGGAGATGAGGGGGATTTTGGCGTATGGGCCTATTTTTGACAGTTAGTTTGGCGGTTGGAGTTTTTGGTTGGCTGGTTCTTGTCCATGTTTTGGTTTTGGATTTTGGGATTGGAAATTGTAGTTATTGGCCTTGTCATTATGGGTTGCTTGTTTGGGATGGCGTCTGGAGAAGGAGGCATGATCCTGTTGGGAGGACAGGATATTGTTTATTTTTGAAGCGTTTCGGCAGGAAGATAAATTCAGCTTCTGGAATTACTTTAAAGCTTCGCAGTCCTAACCAAGTGCAGAGTGCTGAGAGGGGAGAAGGTATGCCTCTGCTGAGATCCTATCTCCGATAAGGCGTGATTGCGGGGATGACGTCAATCCATGTTGGTCCAGGGGCACATCAGACTTGATATGTGCGCCGTTTGGGCTTCTTCCGTCCAGAATATAGATTGAACGCCCAGGAAAAGAGGATATCCCAAGACAAGCGATTGATGATAAGAATTGCTTTGTTAAACAGCCACGTAATCCATCAGATCAGTTCAGCCATCCCACATTACTAATCACGATAATTGTTGGGTGTGGAGCCGGCATGTGCAACCCCGCGCTGGAATTTAAGAGGCCATCACCCCGCTATCTCAAAAGGCTTCAGTGACGTGACAAGATAACTAACTGACTTTCAACCCCTTAATGCGCGCCTTTCGTCCTATAATATCATCACAAAAACTCCTCAGACAAGTCACAGCCCGCAAAATGACCAGCAGTACCTTCCGCTACCTCGACCCAGCCAGCATCACCGCGGGTGTAGCGCCATGGGCCAAAGTCGACGTCGACCACACCTCTTACAGCCGTAAAACCGTCACCAAGGACGTCACCAACTTTTCTGACTGCCTGGACATCCACTCCAAAGTTGGCTCCTTTGGTGCCGACATCGACGTAGCCGGCTTCGCAGTCTACCGCTCCCCCTCCGCCACCACCCCAGAAGATTTCGAGGACGACAAGACCGTCCGCACCAAATACTACGCCGAGGTGGAAGCCCTCCTGAGAGAAAGACTCCAGCACAGCGGCCAAAAGATCAAGCGCATCGAGATCTTTGACCACACCATCCGCAGGCACGACCCCGGCGCCGCCCGCCAGCCGGTCCAGCAAGTCCACGTTGATCAGACACCCAAAGCTGCCGAGGCCAGAGTCAGGCGACATGTCACTCCCAAGGAAGAAGCCGATGCCCTCCTCCAAAAGCGCTACCAGCTCATCAACGTCTGGAGACCCATCCGCCACCCCGCTACCGACTTTCCACTCGCCGTGATCGACTACCGCACCACTGCCCCTGAAGATTTCGTGGCTGTCAGCTTACTTTACCCAAAGCGTGACGACGGGGATGACGACGACAGAGGCAAGGAAGTCCGGCCGTCCCACGAAACACTCGACTCGCTTGAGGGGTATGAAGTCAAGGGTGAGACATATGGTGTACTGCCCAATGAGTCGCACAAGTTGTATTACATCAAGGATATGACGCCCGGGGAGGCCATGTTCATCAAGTGTTTTGACTCCTGGGGGGATCGGTTGCCTGGTGGGAAGAAGGGTGTTGCCGGGCTGACGCCGCACACGGCTTTTGTTGACCCCCAGACGCCTGAGGGCACACCGGGGAGGGAGAGTATCGAGGTGAGGTGCTTGGTGTTTTATGAGTAGATGGTTGACGACAAGACTAAAAAGGCGGGTCGGGATGGGAGATGTAGATTGAACTGGATATGATAATGAGGCAAGATGTAATGAAAGCAGCTTTGGACTTCTCACTTTTGAGTTGATTATTTCGGACAAAGTACTCCGCATTAATATTGCAGTTCTTTTTGCTGATCCCGGATATCTCCCGCCGGGTAAACAGTCCATTGCTATACCACCCCCGAGCCGCCCTGTCGCCTCTTCCACTCTTCAACCACCCCAACCCCACAAACCGATCACCTTTCACAATGAAACCTTCGACAATCACCGCCCTGCTCCTTCCGTGTGTTCTGTCCCTTTCCCTGCCAAGGCAATCCCATAAAACAGTCAGATGGATGCCCCTAGGCGACTCGATAACCGACTATGGCTGCTGGCGAGCCTGGATCTACCTCCGCCTCCAAAATGACCCCGACCTCTACGACTCCGTCGACCTCGTCGGTGGTGAGCGCGCAGGCGAGATCTGCGACGACTCCGAATTCGACCGCGATCACGAAGGACACCCCGGCTTCCCCGCCATCCAAATGGCCAATGAGGGTCGAGTGTCCGAGTGGTTGGCCATGAACCCTGCCGATGTGGTGACTATGCACTTGGGCACAGTGGATATCGTGCGAGGAAAGCCGAGGACGGAGGAGTTGCTACGGGCGTATAGCACGCTTGTGGGGCAGATGAGGGGCCGGAATCCAAATATGAGAATTATCGTGAGTACCGTTGGAATTTTGGCCGGCCAAGAGCATGCACTATTGACACGAGAAATAGGTGGCGCAGATTATCCCGCTTGGGCTGAGCGCGGAAAAGAACGAGCAGGTCAAAGAGCTGAACAAAGCGATTCCTGCTTGGGCGGCCAGCCAAAACACCACGTCGAGTCCGATCTGGGTCGTCGACTTGTTCACTGGTTTCGATGCCGAGGTGGATTTGTATGATGGTATACATGCCAGCTCCTCCGGGATTCAAAAGATCGCTGATGGGTTCTATCCGGCACTATTGACTGCGATTAGATATGTCCAGGGGGGGGGGGGCTGAATTCAGTGTCTTGTAACAGGGCGCCGATGTATTGCTGTGGGAAAAGGAGGAAGCCAAGTGTCATTAAATATCCTATATCCAAAGTCCGCATCGCTTCAGCCGTCGGTATACCGGCCATGTAACGCCTCGACGCCAGTCATTATCCTCATCTCTGTGTTCTCCAAGTTTGTCTTTTTCGCTACGAGGCCGTGTGATCCGACTTTCCTCTACTCGAGGCTCGATCTGAGGCTGGTCCAAACAGTTTACTTCCGAAATTCGATGTGAGTTGTGCTGAGGAACCACTAACGTAGTTCTCATGATTGGATGATCTTTCGATTTCATCATCTTGGCTTCGTGGGGCCGGTCGTGGTCGTTGCGCAGCGGCAACGTGTGATACGGGGATGGTGTACAGCGCCAGTGGATCGCGGCGTGCACTAAATTGGAGCAATGATGGCACATAACGGCCGACCAACGCCCGTAGTGTAGGGGCACAGGCACAAATAATGGCCACATTTGTCTCGATGACGCTGTGTCAGAGCTTGTGTTAGGCCTCTCTCAACGGCGACAGGGGCTTCCAAGAACCTACCTCCATATGTAGTTGATGGCGAATCGATAGGTAAAGTCGTACTTGTCCCACCCCTGTGACACCACTACAACGCGAAATATGCTTATCCCAACAACACTGTTCTTACTGTTAGCATTCCTGTGCTGACAGCGAAGAAGAAGACATACAATCCGCCAGTACCCAATATCGCGGCAATGGCAGCCTTCTGCGAGAAGCCAATCTTCAACGGTGCCAAAAGCCAAAGTGGCAGGACCAGCAAGATGAAATCGGTAACGCAGTTCAAAATCACGAGCCAGGCGTACCAGGCGTCCCTGTTGATGCACGTGCCCTTGACCTTGCCATCCCAGAAAGAGGACATGGGCTGGCATGTGAAAAGGACGCCAAATGCCGCAAGAGAATTGGCGATAACAACGATAACGAGCATGACGTATATAACATGATTGAGAATTCGGGTCGTCGAGAATCGGAGATAGAACACAAGAATCGAGCACTTGATGAAGAGGACCGATAAGTTACTCGTTATGGCGGCAGGAAATCCGGCAAGCTTTTTTCATGGTCAGTTGTGTCCGCCTCTCTAGCCCGTGAGGAAGGATTTTGATTACCAAAAGCAAGGTTTTCCCTCTCCAGGTGTTGGAATGAAATAGGTAGAAGATATGATACCCCAGGCCGAATTTGGTCACTAATCCGTTCGTTGTCAGCCTCGCTCCAGTCGTGGTATTCCCAAGCGTGCTGCTGAGCAGATGATAGAACGGATTCTGGCGTACTAGCAATGAGGGTGGCGGAGTATAGGACGGACAAGATGACGGCAATGAGAATGAGCCCTAAAACGCAACCCCGAGTTAGCCAACCCCCGCGGTCAAGAGCGGCCACGATCCCGAAAACATACAATCATCCTTGTGGCTCACGCGCAAGATGGAGCGCGCGGTATACAATCGGAGGACGACAAAGATTATCGCAAAGACCGGGGCCAAAACAGAGGCGAGAATGACGTTGGAAGCGATGTTCTCCGGACTTTTAGTGTTGTCCGGTACGTCGACGTTGAACATCTCGAAGGATCTGGCGGCATGTTGTGCATGTCTCGGTGGGGTGTAGGTGTGTGTAGACGACACACTCGGTCCAAGCTATAGTAATAGTAGCCCAGAGTTCGGTGGTGTTTGTCGAGAGAGTTAGTCCTTTTGGTGCACCAGGGCCTACAGAGTATGCACGGGGAAGAGGATCATGATGAAAGATGGAAGAAGTGGTTTTGCGGCACCACTTCCCACCAAGTCCGCTCCTTGCTCGACTGAATGAAGCTCGCGGTCGAAAATGCTTCACCGGTCCCGACCATTATTGTGATTGGGCCAAGCTCATGCAACATGCGGAGCAGGTCTTTCCCCAACCTGGTCTGGCGTTGGGCCGACATGGGCCGATTACATCTGGTACCGCTCATGATTGGCCAACACGACGGGATCCTTCCCCGACACCAGGGATCAGCGCCTCCAGTCCTGGGAAAGGGTGCTGACAGCGTTAACACCTGGAGCTTGGCGGCCATTTCGGACATTTGCTTGAGGCCATTTGTTGCGCAGTACGGAGTAAACATCAAAAGTCCCAGTCAAATGAGGCCTTGAAAGTGGATATCGATATCGACAGCAACGGCATGCGACTGTGGGAATCCAAGTCCATGGGTGCCTCCAATCCATTCTTATCAAAGATGCCATTCACCCAGTGCCGAGCGGGGACCTGGGTATGTAAACGGCGACCACTTGTATGCAGTGCCGCCCGGCTACATCGTCTACTTGGCTAGTTTTGTGTCTGCCTAGAGATGCCGCCGGCAACTCGGGCGGACTAGCCACGATCCGACCAATTCTTTTCCACGTTGCTACTTCGCATGTACGGTAGCAGTAAGTTGTATCTCTTGGGTTCATGTGCGTTTTAAGCAATGACGATCGATTCGACGGAACTGAACACATCTGGATGACAAAGCATGAATCCCGAGATTTGTTAACGACCGGGGTTGGCGAAAGATAATCCACTGGCTTCTAGTAAAGACCGGTGAGAGCACATTGTGTCAAAACGCATGGAATGTGGCGTTGACTAACAGCAGCCTTTCTGACGAGGGACTTTGGAATTGGCAAAGTTCCGCATCAACAGCTTCAGTCGAACTGGGCTCCCTTCAACTTGACACCTACATCCGGCTGTCGTTCGTTGCCTTTCAACTTTTAGTGCCTTGGATGATCCCAAGGGAGCTCTGTTGGTAGACGAGGTATGATGACTGAGCGCAGAGGACTGCAGAAGTGCTGTGACCAGAGTGTAATCATGATACTCCCCCGAGACTACCTTACACTTCAAAAAGAAGCGGTCTGCAAAGATTTCCTAGTGAGCGTCGCTGGTAGGGCTTGGATTGGGCGTTTGCTTGATGCTTCTTCGACAGATAAAAATGTAGGGAATGACATGAAGCCTAGTCTCAACCAAGATGGGCAGAATAATCAGCATGGTGACCGATTTTTTGGGTAATTGCATCAAACACAGTCATGCCTGGGCAGTGTTTATATCAATTCAAGGGCTGTCTTCAGGATCGTTAGTGCAACGGTTGACCCGTGCGCCGCCACCTTTGCCGAATGACTCGTCTGCCAGCATGCGTTCTGTTACCAACTTACTCCTGCTGTCTAAAATTTCCAAGACAACTGACACATCTCCAAGCGACAAAGCTTATTTTGGTCTTTTGCAGTGGGTAGGGCCACTGTTCAAGCCTATCTTGCGTGCCCGGGACTTCTTGTGGTTTTTATTTTATTTTTCACTTACATTGTATACATCTCAAAACGGAGAGACTACAACAAAACTTGCCGCAGAATGAAGCGAGACCAGTATCTGCAGCTTTGCCTTCAGCAGGTCACCAACTCCCCGCTTTAGTACCGCCACGGATCCATCGTCGCAAAGGGTGGAAAGATCCTGGGCCAGGGCTACAACGATTATCGCATGGCTTTAACGGCGACGCTCTCAAGACAGGAACGCTTCGTAAGGCCGCATCTCCTCACACTACCCCCAACAGGCCTACCTCGGGGTTCATGCCCTTCGAAATAGGCGGAGATAGTACGGGGAACCGGTGCATCAGCATGCATTCTGAGATGATGGCTATACACTCCGCCCTGATGGCCACGAGAACGGCGGCCGCTGATAGCATGTCCAACGTTCAATGCGGCTTCATGCGCTGCAGCTATGTTCAAAACACCGTAGCCCAGGAGAAAAACAAGACCAAGCCATCATGCAAGAAGTCCAAGAGTGAATTGACGAAGAAGAAGCTTGGAAAGCAGCACATTCCCAACGATCTCGGCAAGAAAGCAGATAACAGAGACGCAAAGAAGGACAGGTTAAGTTGTAGGCCGGAGCTGTCGACTTGAAGGTATGCTGTCTAGTTGCAGTATGATTGGAGGTTATTAATCAGGTGCTCGTTCAGAACAGTCACACTTTCCGACCCAGGAATGCCCCATTCCACGCCAAAGACAACGTACGCCAGCGAACAAAACACCCCAAGCTCATCGGCGCCGATGTCTATGTCGTCAGGTTAGCCCACCGCGGCACTGGCACCGATCATATCAAGGCTGAGGAAGTCGACGACTCCAGATTGTTAGACATGCCACCGCTGTTCGACGTTGATGCACCCTCCTCATCACCATGATGCACCCTCCTCATCACCATGATGCCTTCACGACGAGTTGACAATAGCCCCCTATCCATCCCTGTTCCCATTACCAACATCGCTGAAATCTCTCCCGTAATGCGAGCCACCAACTCCCGTCCATGCTATCGCTGTATCAACTACATGCGCAGTGTCGGCATCAAGCGTGTGTTCTGGACAAACAAGGAAGGAAGATGGGAGGGTGCCAAGGTGCGGGACTTGGTACCTGTTCCGAATGGGTGCGGCGCCTCAGGGTCATATCAAGAGGAGGTATTTGTTACAAAACACGGGATCTTGGTGCGAACGAGGCTCATGGGTGTCTGACATTTCCGTGGGCTAGAAAGCTTAGAGTAGCTAGGGTCAGGGAAGGAAATAAGCGTATGAGGGAGCTACTTCAGACAACCAACATAAAGTCTTTCAATGGTTTTTGATGACATTTTCATAGCTCCAACAAGCAATCGGCTAGACCGGGAAGAGTTTGTGACTGAAAGGTATGACTACCTCTATGCATCATGACACATTTTATCATCCGAACATCGAGGTTACCCATAAAAACTGTCCCAAGAAAGGAGCATATATACCAGAGCAACAGTTGGCTTCACCATCATCTCGTCCCCAGTATCAAGCCCCACCCGAGTCCGAAGAACTTTTTTTTGCAGTTTTTTCCTTTGCTCCATATCACCAAACCTCATCAAACTGTATGCTGAACACGAGTCAACATGCCTCGACCTCTATCCCCAGACGAGTATCAGTTTATAAGATTTGACGAATGGTCTCTTTCCTACGACAACGCTGGCAACAAATTCGACATGCCGGATCAATACTTTGTCCCCGTTGCAGCCCCGTACAGCGGCCAGCCTATCGTCTCTCCTGTCGGTGGGGGCTACACGCTGCTTTCTACCAAGGATGTAGACGAAGAGGTCAATCCTTATATCAGCAATCCTCTTGTTACCTACTGGTCAGAAGAGACAGTCGAAGAGTTCGTCAACCGCTGTCGACCGTCAAAGCAAGCCGCCACAAATTTTAACTGGTATATCATCCGCAACCCGCATGCTACTCAACTTCCAGGACGCGGAGGTGATAGGCCTTCTTGTTTGAAGGAGGGGCTCAAGATCGTTGCCAGTGCGGATAAGGCCATTGAGGCGGTCGTGGCTAAGAAAGGGCGGGATCAGGCGGAACCCTTGATCAAAAGGCTTTCGACAGATTTGATCGACTTGGCTAGGAGGCATGGAGTCACTCGTGGCCATGCATGTCCACACTCCTTTTTTTTTTGCTTTGATGTGCAAGTAAGCTAACAGAGGCAAATAGTTGTTCTTCGCTGTTGGTGCCAAGCGGGTAGATGAGGTCTAGTCAGCCGTCTGCCGTGAGACACTCAACAACAACCTCGGAGACGAGTCCCGCGTGGAATGCAAACCAGGCTCGCGTGCAAGAGCTGGACACTGGCTCATCCAGGTGTCCAACAGGAACTTTGACGACAGTAGCGAGGTGAGGAGGATGATGATATGTCTGAGGGGGATACTGGGGGTGGGGGACAAGACGCAACTGACGTACGTGCCGCATGTCTTTGACATCCTGGGGGCGAATAAATGGAACGCGTGTGTGGTCAAGTATGTGGAAAGCTCAGAGATTGGGCCACGGGTCGTCATGTCATGAAGAGGGTCGTTTTGATATTCACAATTCAAGCACGTCAATCCCCAATTGGCTATAATCACAATGAAACTGCATGAGGGTGAGCGAATGATCCTTGGCCTGGTAGTGAACACATGCTCTGTGATATTTCCAGTCTTGTAAAAGCTGTCTAGCTCAAAGGAGGCTAAAGCATCTGCCTCAACCTGTGCCTGCTCCTAACTCCCTTTGTCCTCAATGCTTGCCCCGAATTCCTCCCGATGCTTGCTAGATCACATTCGTGCTCGCTGCGCTTGCTGCCGGTGTCTTTCTGCGCGCCTCCCGGGTTTTCACGCGAATCAGCCGACGCAGCATCGTTTCCAAGCGCATGAGCAAAGTACCTTTGGAAGGATACAACCGTTAGCACACGATTTCAGCACGGGTATATTTCTTTTCCAACTCACTCACAATATCATCAGTAGTCCTCACGGCGACGCTTCTTGGCCACATCTTCGGGCATGCCAAAGATCTGCGGGTGAGCGAACCCGTTGAAAACGTCATCTGTACCGGCAGCTCCAGTCTGGTCCTGGGTCATGAGGGGGAATTGCAAGGGGCCGCTGACGTGCCTGGCCTGGGAGCGCATGGGAGCGATTGCGGCGAGTCCGTTGCCGAAAGCAGTATTCTGATTCTGCTGGCCAGAAGCGGTGGCCATGTGGGTCCCATTCCAGAACTCAAAGGTAGGCGCGGTGGCGAAGCCTTGAGGTTGCTGCGTGTGAATGGAAGGCTGTTGCAGAGGCTCGGCAGCAAAGTTCATGGGCGCGCGCTGCTGCTGGGCGAACTGCTGCTGGGCGAACTGCTGCTGGGCGAACTGTTGCTGGGCGAGCTGCTGCTGGGAGAGCTGCTGCTGGGCGTATTGCTGCTGGCGAGCGCGTAGCTGGGACGCCTGTCGAGCCTTTTGCTGCTGGGTGGCTTGTTGCTGCTGAGTGAGTTGAGGCTGGCCGTTACCATTGCCCTGCACCGTACCAATCCGGCCTGGCTCCTGAACCGTTTTCAGCATCTTGTCAAGGCTTCCGTGAACCTTGTCAATTGTTGCATTGAGCGTCCAAAGATTGTCGGTGGTCCTTTCCATGGTGGCACTCATCTTGTCCATATTGGCGGTCATGGTGACCATACTGCTGTTCAGGGTGGCGATTTGGCTGCTCATGATCTCCACATGACCGCTGAGCCTCTCCAAAGAGGCTGTCAGAGCCCTCAGGGAGGCAGCAGCAGTAGGTGGTGCTCCATGATTGGCATTGTTAGACGGGGGGGGGATAACTGGGAGATTGTTGGGGTTTTGCGAGCCTTCCTCTTCCTTCATATTGTCCGTTGAGATGGATCTGAGGGTAATCTGAGATTCGGACGAGAGTTGAGAGAGTGCGGTTGTCAGGGAAAGAAGAGTCTCAGAAACAGGACAGAAAGGAGTACTTATAGTATTTGAAAGTTGGGACAAGAGAGTCGGCGATCAACCACAACGATAGAGCAAAAATTTGCACTGCCTCAGATACAGTTGCTCCCCTGGCTTCAGTGAATACTAATTCACACGCTCTACCTTGGTAGTTAGCTGAGACCGTACAAACTAGAAGGCGGCGACACATGTTAATCAAGATCTTTTATCTGATGCTTGGGCACTTTCATGAACGGAATCAAGATCTAGAATGTCTAGAGTTCTGGAGAAACATACTAGGTATTCTTTTCTAGCTTCCTATGATTATAATACCCTACTAGGAATAACTTGAACCATATACACTCTTCATTATATACTAAGTTATTTCCTATGACCTTTCCATGAAATGCTCATGTGGTTGATGGACTAGCATATCAAGCAAGATCACCTACAGCAAATGCATTGAGGGCCTCTAAGGTCAAAGACTTTCAACATTCTAGCATACTGAACAGAGTCCTGTGGCTAGATGATGGTGAGCAAGGAGACATGATGTGTTCGGTGATTTGCCCTCGTTCTTGTTCTTCTGCGGCCCTCAGGTAGTGAAAGCAAGTGCATGGGGATAGACATGAGCATTAGATTGACCAGAACTTTGGGAAACTGTTTGTCTTCTTTGACAGCTGCAACCTGGTCAATAGAACTGGGGACATGAGAGCGGCAGACGTGAGGTCACTGCGGCATAGTCGTCTGGACGATTCACCAAAGAGGAGCATGGCTGAGGAGACAATCTCATACATTGCAGGCTTCCTGCCTCGACTCATCGCCCGGCGTTGAATTTGCCTCTGGAGGGATGCCGAGTCAGGCGGGGCAGCTCCGGCCATTCCTGTCTCCCGACAACGGCCCCACCTAGCCCTAAGCAGGGCCGAGAATTGACCACTGCCGGCCTCCGGCTGGCCGGCAATTATGGGTCTCAGGGCTTGCAGCTTGGGCGACATCACACTCGCAGCCTGCAGAATCTGCTTTCTTTACTCTTTTCTCTCTCTCTCTTCTGTCTTCCTCTCCCCACTCCCCAACTCCACCAGGTTCGAAAAAGGTGACAGCTGCTCGCCCAGCAGGGTGTGTTCCATTCCACAGCCGAACACTCTTCCCCAATATCCCCTTCGAGATTCATTCTAACTCTCTTTCTAGTCACCCCGCCGCAAGGCGGTCGGTCGATCTCTCTCGGCAAACTCTCTCCTCTTCACAACCCAGCGACATCAACCGTTGAGCCTGCTCACGCTCTTTTGGCCTGGAGCTCACCCCTGCCCGGGATTCTCTGTCCTCCAAAAGGACAACATCGCCTACCTGGCGAACATTTCCGGACCGGCCATTGCCGAATTCAATATTCCGCCTTTCTCTGAGTGCTGGGCGCACTTGTACAACTTGTGCCCTCGCCCTGGCGTCTCCGTCGATGTGCTTGAGCGGTGCATCGCTCTCATCCGTGAGGAGACAGTTCGCTACGTCAACACACTCCCCGCGTCTGTGCAGGCTTCCATCAAGGATCGTGCCAAGGAGGACAGTCTTTACTTTGGGTACATGCGGCATGAGATTCAGCTTCCGCAGGGCAAGGAGCTCGCCGCTATGACTCTTCAGGGGGTGGCTTGGGAGCTGGCGATCAACCAGATGCAGGCTTATGGATTTCACGCCCGGTTATGTTGCAAGAATCTTCTTCGACCTTTCTGATCTTCACTGACAGAAAGCAGCGGCGTCAGGCTAAGTACCAGGAGCAGTTCTGCGTTCGAGAACTGTCAGCCAAGAAGGAAAGGGAAGGTGGCTATCAATCAGATGCAAGGGCGTCAAGCTTGTGGCTTGTGGAAGTCGCCTGGATGGCTGGCATGGTAAGAAGATCTTGATCTGCTTTTCTGTTGATGATGCACTTTGCTGACTCTCTTTGCGAAAACAGTACTTCTTGGTCACGGCGTCCAGGTTATCATGGATTGGTGAATGGAGGGAGAGTTGGAAAATGGCGGACCGCCGTACAAGAACTATTCATTGTAATATATCACTTGGTGGATTGACGAACGGCTTTTCTCATTGCGCCTTGATATCGCCATTCAATGTGACTATCGTTGGTGACACATGCTATTACTCTGAGCCCATGGGTCCAGTGTGGCTTTAGGGAGGGAGGCCTGACAGTCTTGATGAACTTGCGGGACGAGAAGGCAGGGCGGCATCAGTTCAAATAACAACAGGCTTCCCCTATAATCCATGACTTGGGACGTTATCGCGAGCAAGTCTAACGGACAATTCACGCAACATGCATTATGGCCAACTCAGGTTTCTTTACTTAACAAAGCTTGCTGCCGACATACCCTATCTTGGGAAATATTGACCATTCCACCACGTGCTTTGTTCCCTCCACTTGGCAAAGACCTTTCTCGCTGGAAGCTACCTAGGTATTGAGTATAATGCTTCAACCCTCTTTAGCTCTTCCAGGTCCCTCTTCCAAGCACGGGTCTCTACACGAATCTTGATCAGCTCGTTAATGAGCCCCCTCTGACCCATCCCTTCCAGAGAAGGCAGACCAATCTCACCCTCAAACATCTTCCCATGCCGGAAACTCTCCAGACAACTATTCATTGACTGCTCATCCATCTGCCGATACCTGCTCGTCGTCTCCAGTTTCAGTCTGTTCAGCCTGAGGGTTTCCTGCCGTAAAGACGGCACCAGGTCTTGCACTTCAAATCTGGGCTGCAGCCACTGCGGGTCTATCGATGCCAAATCCTTCGAAGCTTCCATGGCTGTTCTGATCTCGTCGCCGTCAAGCTTGTGGTGATTTTCGTAGTGCTGCCTGAGGGTGGAATCGTTGCGGAAGGTCTTTGGGCAGATCCAACACGAACTGCCTGGCTTTGGTGTGTGCTGACTGTGAGACTGTCCGTTAATAGGGGGGTTTCACACAGCGGTGCTATTGGGAAAGGTATTGCACTTACTTTGTGATGTGGGTTTGCAATGACTTTTCCGAACCTATGAGTGTGGTGCAGTTGGCCCGGGGGCACTTGGTCCGTTGGCTTCCAGGCTGAAAAGACTCCTCATCACCATCGGTATCGCCAGCAACTTGGATAGCTGGAGCCTGGGTGGTGGAAGCTGAGGCCGCGGGGGGGTTGACTGGCTCGGGAGCGCTTTCGACTGGTTGGGGGGCGGTGCCGACCTGGTCGTGAGCGGTGTTGACTGGTTTGGAAGCGGTTTCAACAGAGGATTCCAAGGCTGGGTCTACCGGCAGAGGGTTCGACACTACTAGTGGCGCGTCGACATTGAAACCATGGTGGTCCATCGTTCTCCGCACTACTTCGAGATACTCGGCGAAATACTCATCAGACCCAGGTTGGGGGACCAGCCTGAAAGGCATCCATGAGACACTGCCACTACTGATCATGGCTTTTGGCCTGGAAGGATTCCACTTACTGACCGGATACCTCTCTTTGCGCACGCCAGTCGTCCATCCCGAACTTGGCTCGATGTAGATACTCCATTGTTGACAATGACCTGACACAAAGCATTGATGAGTGTCAGCCATCTCTCAACTAGTGCGGTAGAACTTGGGAGGTTGGAAGGTTTAGTGAGGAGAGAGGTGCTCACCAATTTTGCCTTTGCATCGTGTCAGCTTCTTTTCGATGATCACTGAAAATCGTAGATGAGGTAAGAAAGGGGAGTGTAGATTTCAACACCGCTCGCTGGCCGAGTGAGAGTGGTCGGAAATGCTGAAAAATGCAGAGATGGTTGAGTTGGGTTTAGTGTGTAGCTGTGTGAAGAAGAGACAGACGAGCAGCCAAACTGAGCAGCGAGATCAAGTTACCACATTCCTGTGGAGCAAACACACCCGCTTTTTGAGTCAACAATATCACCCAGTCGAACTATGACATCGCATCTTCACGCACAATGCAAACACACTTCCTTCATAGACACAGCTCCGGTTTAAATCCAATCGCATAATGTCATTCAATCATAAAGCTGCTAACCCTAACGCCACACAAATGCAATGCTATATACCAATCCATCACACATCATTCCCACCCCCTGATCTAGCTGGCATTGATCCTGGAGATCAGGAACTTGGGCGCCTCATCAGCAGCCTCATCAGCATAGGTGCCATGGGCAGGCAGAACAATGAGCGAGCCGTTGCAAACCAAGTCGCCGCTCTCGCAGTACACCCTGAGACGGTCGGCAGGGTAGTTGGGGATCTTGCCGTTGTTCTGCTTGTTCTTGGTCCAGCCGTAGAGGACAACACCCTTGATCTGCTCGCGGATGGCGGCGCTGCTCTGGGAGATGGCGGCACCGGCGAGGGCGGCACCCTGGCTGTAGCCACCGGCGACGATCTTGGCCTGGGGGCAGAGCGAGTTGGCACGGATGAGGAGGCTCTTCATCTCGTTAATGGCGGCGGTGGTAGTGCCCTCGGGGAGGAGGTTGTCGAGGAGGCCGGCGGAGTAAGCACCGCCAACACCCTGGACCCAGACGTTGGCCTCGCCAAAGGCAGCGTCGAGAGCGACACCAGTTGGGCTGCCGAGAGATCCCTTTTGGCTTGGTTAGCTATGGTTCACTTCGCAAACAGACAGGACAAAACTCACAAGGTTACCACCCTCGGTGGAACCGCGGGCGTAGATGAAGATGACCTTGGGGCACGGGCCGCCATCGAGCAGTTCGTTGGCAGTCGCACCAGCACCCGACTTCCAGCCACGAGCCTCAAGGGTCTCCATGGTCTGGCGGTGAGACTCGACAAGCTCCCGGGTGCGAATCTCATCGAGAGGGCTCGGGAGAGCCGCGACGAGAGTGCCGGTGAGGGCGGCGACGGTAGCGAGGAAACGCATGTTGATGGATTTGTCGAGAGACTTTGAACGAGGAGCTGAGAGCTGACCAAAGAGGAGACTGAGTACTCAAGTGAATGAGACTCGAAAAAGGGCTGGTGATGGCTGGAGTTGAAGATCTGGAGCTGAGAGGTGCTTGGTGAGTTCAGGCAGGACGAGGAGGACAGTATCTCGACATCTTTATATCTCTGGGTTCCCCTTCCGGCCCGACACCATCGTGGTTCTCGCGGTCCGTATCCTCCGTAGTAAGACGGTGAGAAGACAGTTACAACAGTGCCAAGACCGATGGCGTCTTCCCCACGCCGTCAGGGTCCATGGGAGACAGGCATTCCCCGCATTCGCGATGCAACCCTTAGCGTCGAGTTTGGGCAGCTTGTGGTTTGCAGGGTTGCATCTTGAGGCGTTTGTTTGGGTCATTTGAACTGCCAGTAGCGGACGTTGATCCCAAATTGTACCAGAAGCCCGCCGCCGCTGTGCTGGCGGGCCGACGTATCCCAACACAAATTCAAAAAAACCTGAAGTGTGCCAAATCAAGAGCCAGCCGCATGCAAGAGCCAGGCCGTGGACGGAAGGTCCTGTGACTTTTGGTGCGGCGTCAAGTCCCGTTGGTCCGGACGAACCTGGTACACCTTCCTGGACCGTCTTGGAACACCGGCCACCGCAGTCCTCCCTCCCCGACCCCGCATCTTGACAGTTGACACTGCCGGCATAGAGTATTAGTACCTATCTTCATGTTGAGAATGCCATTGGGCAGCAAGAACAGAGTCGCAGCCATCTTGCAACGGCGCTCGGATAGCGTAGATGTGATGGGGGGTGTCCTCTTGCAGAAATCGCCGTACTGCAGGGCCGAGCACTAAATCACAGCATGTGAAAGTTGGAGAATTTGGAGGAGTCAACAATTGAGAGTTAGCTATCTGAGTCCTGACACAACTCGGCGACAAAAACCATGACTGTCTTGAGCAACGCGGACATCCGTCACAGATTTCCAAGCAAAATCCCAACAAAATGTTTTTGATGGCGGATAACTCCATCCAACTCCATATAGATAACCACCCAGACCCATTTTGAAGTGTACATTCACTCGGCACACAGTTCCCATTTGGGACTTTTACAACAAGTAAGCGGCCCCTGACCCTGGTCTCCCCAGTTCAACACCCAAAAGCTTGGCTCTCGCTGGATCTTGGGTGGGCCGAAAAGCCCTCATGGTATCTTGGCGAGCGGTACCGCAACGCGGCAGAAGCGGTTCGCTTCCCATTCTGCCTATGCTACCTTGGCCATTAACGGGATGTGTATACCTGTCAACAAGATGAGGGTTTGCGAAAATAAGCTCGCAGCGTCAATGCGATCTGTGGCACGGCGGTTCCTTTTATGAACCTTATTTCGACTTCGCTCGCTACCATACATGGAGGATAGCAAGGCGGGTAAAGGTTTTCAGCTTCATGAGCCAGTATGTTGATGGGCTCAACAAAATCACAGGAGGGCAAAGCAAGACTTGTAAGAAAGCCATACTTGATCCGTCTTTCACAATTGATGGGAACCTCTACACGTATATCAAACACTCTTGCCAACACCAGCCCAGTCCCCCAGCTGCCCAGCCAGAGACTTGATATGAACCCTGCCACCTTCCAAAACCGCCCGAAAACGACAACAAGCCCAACCTGTCTAGCGCCAAAGAATGCAAACCGCCGAGTCAAAAGTCCTCTCATCCAACGGGCCCCACAAGATCCAACCCCCTGACATTGTAGAACCGCTGCACCTCGCTGCGGAATTCCCTCAAGTGCTTGTGTGCCCACCCTCCCTCCGTCTTCCTCAACTCCCTCATGACTTGGACAGCCTTGAACATGCCACGCATGTGTTCAGCCAAGAGAGCAATTCTCCGCACCCCGATGCCCCTGCGTGCGATATAGTCTTCCATGTACGACCTAATAAGAGTGCGACACATTGGTCAGGCTACCTGAAAAGAATGGGAGGTGAATGGAACTACTTGCCATGCTGTTTTGGCATCTCCCTGATTAAGTGCCAAACATCCAAGACGATAAATGCAAGAGATGTAAAGCGGGTGGCTCGCCATCTGTCCAGAAGCTTGCCACAAGCTCATTGTCTTGTGAAAGTGTCGAGTGGCACGTTCATACTTGTGTTCCTTGCGATCAATAGTACCAAGTGCGAAATGTGTACTGTTGAGAGAGTTGGTAAAATTCAAAAGACAAATGGCGTGGGAGGTGCTCGACTTACTGTGCAACCAAAACGCCGTCGTGTGGTGTGCGAGCGGCGATTTGCTACATCGCCTGCTGTATCCACATTCTGGCCTCGTCGAGCAGAATGTCGTCTTCTTCCTCAGCATCATCTGGATTTGCGAGTGTGCTCTTGCCCTGTATGACCGACTCACTCTGGCGTTTCCTGTGCATGTGTGAGAACGTGTCTGGTTCTGTGCAACAATAACCTCCCAATCTAAGAATCGTCCTGTCCAAGGTCCATGGAAGTTGTTAATTCATCAGCGGACGGCCCGTCCTCTGGCCCCTCTGCTGTCGATGAAAAGGGATAACCCTCTGTGATTAAAGGTTGAGGTGTCTCGACCTTCTCGGCCCACGTCATGATGTCCTCGTCAGTGAGTGTCATCTCTGTCTCAAGTCTTCGGCACTCTTGTACCCAATCCGGTAGGTTTCCATCGCCGCTTGGAACCAATCCAACGTGTTATCGATATCCCGCTGCGTCACGCAGATAGACGAGTAAATCAATGCCATGTCCGCGAGCGCAATTGCTCTATGGTACAGGTCGTCTGTCCACTCACCCTCGGCCTTTGAGTAGTCATGAAAGTGATTGAGATGAGATGCGCAAAGGGGATACGCCGCATCCGTTTCACCAAGAGCGAGTTTCGCATAGCCGGCGTAACACATCGTTTTGACCTCTGAAGGCTGTCCAGGGGACGTCTATTGCCAAGATTGTCATCGTGTACCTGCCTGATTATTGGCAGGAAAGCATCGACGTCCCAGTCTACCGTACTATATGCTCCAATCTTGAAGACATATCTATTTGCCAAGACAATTGATGATTGATTAGCTTTGTCATGTACGACAGGATAAGTAAGATAGATAGTGACGGAAGCTCATTGTTCGACGAGGCTTATCAACCGATACAAATCTTCCATCGTGACGACATTCATATCCTTGTTGTTGAAATACTCTCTCGTCAATAACCAACGCAGGGTCAGGGCATGCTCTAGATATTTTGCACAGCCATCCTGATGGTCTGGGTACAGACGCCTGTCCCTAGGACATTCGGGAAAGGCGATAGAGAGCAAAATTGCTGCATTGCTCAACGCGGTGTGCTTTTCCGATGTTGTTAGTAAGCCCTTGAGGATATTTTGGGCAACCATATTGTCGACACAAAAGCATTGCAGATCCTCATCGCTATCTATCAGCGTGCAGGCGACAAGGTTCTCTAACGACGCCAGCAGACTGTCGGTAGAGCCGGTGTTAGTAACTCGTCCCTAAAGATATCTGGGATGTCTGCATAGCGTTTCTTACCATTTCTCGTCCATTTGAATGCTGAGCAATGGATGACGTTCCACGAGACAGACGGGGTCAAACAGCTCCTTGGGTATGCAAGTCGGTTCTATCACCGACATGATCCCTAGGATTGTGCGGCACTGTGGACTCAAGGACTCAAACGCCAACCCCAAAACTGTTTCTGACAAACTTTCAGAAGAGGAGCGAGGAAGCGAGGAGTGTTCCAAACGGCTCTCGATGTCGGACATGTCGAAAACGCCCCGGCCGAGCATACCGACAAGCTTTGGGATATGGCTGCAGTCAGCCGACAGTTTGCTGCAAACAAAATCAACCAGTGCTGTAATTCTTTCATCACTCAGCCAGTCAAAATTGCTTTTATTGCGATTCTGTTCCAACAGAGCTCGAAAGGCGGCTGTGTAGGAGACTGCGCTCAAATCAACGTGGAGAATGGTGTCAGTATATGTGAAGCAGGTTAAAGGGGAGTCTGATGTGATGATGATTTGTCCATGACCGCCGCATCTGTTGGGAAGAAACTGGTACTCCAGTTCACCACTGTCCGCATAATCATATACTATTAGCCAGCGGCACTCTAACATATCATATTTTGCCTCAATATCAGCAACTAGCCAACAACGAAAGAGAGGTCTTACTTACCCGTATTTGATAACCAGGTTCAGGAACAAGCTGCCGTTGGTTTTGAAGTCTCCCGGTTTTGCGCCGGGAAGACAGAGATGAACCACCATAGTGCCGAAGGTTTGAGAGCGAACATCGGCTACATTACCGTGTGGGGTCCAGAATATTGCATCCACCTCTTTTTGGGCACGAAGCATGTCGGCATACTGAAGGGTCAACATGCTCTTCCCACTGGCAGTGGCATCATTTGTGATTGTTAGGGCACGAAGGTGTTCTGCGCCGGTTTTTTTGAGTGTGTCAGGCTTTCTGAAGTGTTGCTCCAGCGTTTCCATGGCGCTGGGAATCTCAAACATGTTCCTAGGTCTGGTGGATGGCAAAACGAAACAGGGGAGTTTTGCATCTGTGTCTGACAGCGCCACAGAGGTCTGTGGTCCGTCTCGGAAAGGTGTGAGGTTATTCGATAAGCATCTTGTGGATACGACTTGTTGGTTTGTTGACAGGGAGTGTCTCAGAGCCGTCAACTGAAGCAGAATGTCCATCAGATGCGCAACATGCCAGCATTTCTTGGCCAAAATTGGCAGTACTCTTACTTGTAGGGGGAAAGCGTTCTTTGGACCGATTGGGAGGATTCCGGCCTGATATATGTCAAGGACCTCTCTGAGAAAGCTGACGACATTGATGACACATTGAAGGTATGACCTTCGCATCTCTGGGCTAATCAGGTGACGTCTCCTGACATTTTTACGACAGGCTTCAAGTGTGTCGAAAAATATATGGAGTGCTGGGAGAATAGTAGCTACCGCAAGAGAGTTGTGGCGTATGATCTAACAATTTTTATTAGCGACCAGTCTAGGTGCTTGGGTGCTTAACAGTATAGCATAGGGGCGAGCGTACATGCAGCACTAGCTTTGCCAGATTCTCGACGAGAGAAAGATCGACTCCTGGCTCTCACTGCTCGAGGTGAAGCGCAGACTCAGTCCACTGCAGCAAAATTTGAGTCAAACCCTCTTCTGACAGTGATGAACCCTGGGTGTTACTCAGGACTGCACGGTCTGCCGTACGCTCCCGATCAAGTCCCCGGATGAGTTGAATGTCGCCAGGGGTTAGGCATTGCCCCAAGAGACCCTTTGTCAATGTCCACCGCGCTAGTAAGGGTCATCGCTGTTAGGAAAGGTCAGGAAAGATGCTCTGCCAGTATGAGTGGGGCGGGGTTCCTACTGACGTCTGCAGTAACTCCATACTGGTGACAAAATGTTGACTGTAAGGTAGGTAGGTAGGTACCTGCGATGTATACAGCTGGGAAGTGGATTACCAAGGCATGCTGATTGGCTATCTTATATAGACGCTGGGTGCCAAATGGCTTCCCGCCCTGCGTAGCGTGTGATGGCATTGTTGGAAGTACTGGCTTGCGTGACTACCGAAACAGCGTCGAGTTATGGACTGAGGATGACCAAGCTTTGATCAGCTGCACGACCATCATGTCGGGGTGGTTGGTCTGATGAAAAGAAGGCGCAAGGGCCTGTTTGCAGTTGACAAGTCGTCCTGTGTGGGGTTACTGATCCCCTTCTGTCAGCCACATGGCGCCAGTGTGGTAAAGTTGTGGAAAGAGCGGAAACTCTTCCCTGGAAACCAGAAGCAACCTTAAATTTTGAACTGTCCCTGTCAGTCACGTTTGCATCCAAACTTCGCAAAATCAGCAAGCCGGAATTTGCCGCCAAACATCAACCTCCCGGCTGGCCAATCCTGCACCTCATGAGACCACGCCTGGTCACGTGCAGAACCTGTAATAAAGTCATGGCCACTTTTTCCCGAGTCGCGGTGAACTTCGATATCCACCAGGAAAAGGTAATTGGACAGCTGGTGCTGGGGATAATACTAATAACAGCCAGCAGCCCTTGCAGACATAATTAACAAGGCCGTTTCTCTCGCGTTCGGGTTTTTTGTCGTACTCGTATTCGTATCTGACAATCTCCTACACGACCGCTTTTGAGGATATATAGGCTTCGCGAAGACTTCGCTCGGAATGTCTCCTGGATACATGGAGTATCACAAACCATAGCCCTTTGAATGTTTTGACAATGGCCCCCTTCAAAGTCGTCGTTCACCCACTCGCGTCCGAGCCCACTGACAGCTCCCACAGTCCCAGCCTTACCGCGTATGAATCCGAGCCTTTCTCCTCTCCCAACGCCCTAGTCTTCATCCATGGCCTGACAGCTGGGCCCCACACAACAGATCTTACACATCTGCAGGCCGCTCTCCCTTCTGAGTACTCCATCTGGGAGCTGCGTATGCGAAGCTCCTACTCTGGATGGGGGTATTCCTCCCTTGACAACGACGTCCAGGACCTCACACGCCTCGTCCGCTACCTGCGTGAGGACCTCAAGATTAAAAGGATCGTTCTGATGGGCGCTAGCACTGGATGTCAGGGTGCCCTCGAGTACAACAACCATTCCAGTCAGCCTCCGCGTGTTGATGGGTACATCTTGACATCTCCTGTCTCGGACAGAGAGGCTGCCAACGCCCTCTGGTCGTCTGAGGCACTGGCTGAGAGCTTGGCTGTGGCGAAAGAGTTGATAGACCAAGGAAAGGAGTGTGCTACCATGCCAAAGGAGCATGTTCCTTTTTTTGCAACGCCAGTCACGGCGGCGAGATGGTGGAGCTTTGCTGCCACTGGGTAAGTTTATTTATTCTTTTCTGTATCATTTGGTGTAAGATGCTGATCAAGTTACAGTGGCGCAGAAGACAACTTCGCTTCAGACCTTTCAGATGAGGTCCTCGCAGGCAAATTTGGCAGGGTGGACAAGCCATTGTTGATCTTGCCTGCTGAGAAGGATGAGATGGTCCCGGCATCGGTCGACAAGCAGCTGTTATTGGAGAGGTGGAGTACGGCGGCCCCTAAGGGGGTGGTAAGTGAGCTCTCGGGGTTCATTCCTGATGCTGATCATGTTGTATCCTCTTCTGAAGCCCAAAAGTGGCTTGCCGAGAGGGTTGCCAAGTTTCTGTCCAGCATCTGATTATGCTGTCATTTTAGATATTGGCAAAGACAAAGGTGGCTATGCGTTTGTTTGTTGAGAAACAATGTGCTTTCAGATGGCGTGTCGTTTTGTTGTGCGTTTGCAACTGTGCTGTGAATTGGTAGCCCTCGGTGTTGATACACTGGTTGACACCAAACTTTGCCCACGTCGAGGCTAGGATGGCCGCCGGCAATGTCTTCTTTCACAGCCGGCGATATCAAGTCACCTTAAATCCTTCGCTGAATTCTTTTCATCCTATACAACAGTTTGACATTCTCTTTGTCTAGTCCAATCTGCCACCAAGGATGAATCCAGGTGGAGATGAGAATTACAAGTATGTATCAGCAGACCTTGATGGCTACATTAGTTGCAGTATGACTGGAGCTCGAGACCTATACTGATGTTTTGCGAATTAGCTATCCTCCTCACCATGATCCTGACTGTGATCCCGACTACGATCTCTTCTACAACATGTATCCCTTGGTTCTTGTTGACCCCTGCGGCGCCTTGGGAGTCGCGCCCCCGAACGCTGGGCCAATCGACCCCACGCCCGCTGACTTGTTGTTTTACCGACACTTCCCGATTGAAGGCCTTGTCCCACTTCTTCAAGATGAGACCCACCTCCTGAGTTCGCAAGCGGGTCAAGTCCAGGAGAAACCACACCATTCAGACCAACGACAATACCTGGGACTTGATATTCACTACCAGCAAGCTCTGGTGAATGGTGAGCAACTGGAACAAGACCCGCCCTATTCACAATATGTGGGTCAGCAAACTGTTGGCCAGGAGAAAAGGCTGCGCTTGTCACCACTTCCTGACGATCAACAACCACCGCTTCCCGACGATCAACAGCCAGTTCCCAAAGATCAAAACGCACCTCACACAGCAAAGAACCAAGAAACGGTAACCATGGCCAACAACAAAGCCAAAGTCACTTGTGAAGGGTGTGGCAAGGCCCTTGGGGCTAGGAGCATGTACAATCATAAGAAAATGTAAGTGGTTTCTTTTAGATACCTAGGTACCCGGCACGGATGGACTGACGCCTGCTGGACATGTAGCTGCCGCAAGCTCAACTCCGAGGACGAGCTCGACCTGCCCAAGTGCACTCTCCCAGTTCTCGGCGGCGACCCGGAAAAGATCTGCAACACCCTGCACCGCAGCAAGACAGCCCTCCGCGATCACCAGCAAACAAGGCATCACTATTTTGCCCCCGGCGAGGCCAGCTATGACAAGCGCATCAGCATCGATTCCAGCTACCTGACAAGACTCTCCAAGACTGTCTTGATGACTCGGGTGCGCTTGGAGGGCGAGCAGCTGCGCGAGCATGTGGACGAGCTCACGAACGACAAGGTCATTGAGAACATTGACAAATGGGTTAGAGCTGGGATGGAACTTACCAAGGAGGAGTTGGCCGAGCGGTTGATTTTGATTCGGGACGAAAGAAGAGCTCTTGATCTGGAAATTCTCACTTAAGGCCAGGCAAGGAGGATGGGGCGGTGGCCGGATTGATATGGATGTGGGGATATATTGGTCACAGACAGGAGGGTTGATATTGAGCAGCACCATAGATGTATAGGAAGCGTATGTACGGACGGTACATGGTTCGGGGGCTTGGGAGGATGGTACAGCATCAGCTCTTGGTCAAGTACAGTATTGTGTGGGATCCGAGTTCGCGGTAACATTTTCCAGTGTTTTCTGATATGTGGCGTTGCATTGATTGTGATACAAGTGATACAAGTGGTCGGAACGCGAGGGTCCAGACCCCGCCGCCTTAGAGGGCTGAGGAACAATTCCGATAACACGCTGATGAGACGAATGTGCCTTCCCATTCAATTCGGTGGAAGGTTGAGTCCCTCCCGCCATGCACATGTGATTGTGCCTTGTGACGTACATGACAGTCAAAAAAAAATGTATAAAGGAGGCAGCTGCGCCCTTGCACTGACGGGGCGGGATTCAGTTCACCCTCTCCCCTCGCCCGCATCCAGATCTTCCAGACCCAAAGTCTCTCCACGGCCCGCCAAATTCGAACCAATACCTATTTTCCCAACCTATCACCCCAAAATGCCCCTCAAAGGCTACGGCATCTGGAAAGGCACCCCCACCAAGTGGGACGGGACCGCTAAGCCCGGTCACGGCCACATCACCTTCTCAGACACCACCTCCACCCGCCTAGACGCGGCAGTCAACATCGAAAGCAAGTCTTCCGACTCCCGTCTCGTCTACTGGGTCATCCGCGACCTCCAGCCAGTCTCAGCAACCTTTACCCACTCCCTCCAGGCCCTCCCACGGGGTTTCCACCCCCAGAAGGGCACACTCGAAACCGGCAGCCTGGGCCTTGACTTCCTCCGCCTGAACCTCTTCCGCCCCCAAGATGGCATTCTTCTCTCACACAACACGCCCGGGACGAGCCATAACATCCTCGACTATCTCAACCCAATCCTGAACCAAGCTGTCGTACAAAAGGCGGACATTTACCTGTTTGGCGAGCCGTACAATGACAAGACCGGGATTCATGATATCCACATGAATCAAGGGAACTCGGGACAGTGGAAGAAGGACAATGGAATTTTTCAAGACGGCGGAATCATCCTGGCCTTTCCTGATGGTCATTGGGAGGGCATATTTCTTGCGTTTGCCGTGCAGACGTACAAGACTGATGAGCAGGGCATGCCGGTTGGCGACACGTTTGCCAAGTTGCTGGGTGGAGGAAAGCAGCCTGGTGAGAGTGATGAGGAAGAGCCGGAGCCGATTGTAGGAGATGGGATCAAGATTGAGGCTGCGTTGGTCAATCCTCATGGACCGGACCAGCAGCCTACCAGGGGAGATGGGGAGACGGTGTACTTGCTTAATCGTTCTGTGACGACGGTGGACTTGGAGGGTTGGAGGATTGAGAATGGGTCGGGGCAGAGTCATGTCTTGGAAGGAGTGTCTTTGGCAGTGCAGAGCAAGAAGGGAGTTGCTGTGCCCGGGGTGGCGTTGGGTAACAAGGGAGGGGTCATTTCTTTGAAGGACAACGGCGGAAAACTGGTGCACCAGGTCAAGTACTCGAGAGATCAGGCTCAGAGGGAGGGAGCGCTGGTGTATTTCTTGCAGAAGTGATCAGAGCTTGAGAGGTTTGGGTGTCGACTGTCCTTGCAGACATATCCCTAGGTTTATCTTCCGGGTTAGCCTCCGCATGCTCTGTTCATGATCAACTTGTCAAAATTCTTCCCATCGCACGGCACCTCATTGTGGCCGTGCCCTGGTAAGCACCGTGGGGCTCTGCACTGGAAGTGTCAGTCGTTGGTGTCATTGATGGTGCCACTCGGTAAATGGTACGTGTCGGTGTCCTTCGAGGGTGGGAGATGACCTAAGAGGACATTAGATGGAATACTGGCTCATGGCATCAGATTGGGTCTGCCATGGAGGCATCAAATTTTCAGTCTATAAGAATAAGGCTTTTTAGCTGCCATAGATATGTCCAGGTCCCCAACACCGCAAAGATTACCGTTCCTGCCATAGCTCAAGGGTGCCGATTAATTGTCCTCCAGCAACAATTGGGTCAGTACGGCCTGATCAGCGATCAACTTATAACCAAATTCGCCTGTGAAGAGTACCAGACTCCAACTGCCCTCGGCCAGTCTCTGATGGTATGTAGTATCAATCATTACTTCTGACCGTGTATATCAACAGTACCTAATGGTTACAGGTGGTGCCACGTGCTTTAGCCGTTGTGCCTGGCCAGACTAATGCAGAGCCAGTCGCAATCCATGCCAACCATCACAACATGGTTAAATACACATCAAGGGAAGACAGCAGATACAAGACCGTATCAAGACACCTCAAGGACATGGAAAATGACGCTATCAAGAAGATTCCGCAGCGCTGGGAGGCAGAGAAAAGATCTAACGAGGGTAGGTAGTCTTAGACCGCAGTTTCCGGTTTATCATAAATATTAACTTATAATTAGCATATTTAAATGCCTCCAATAATGTCACATTCAGCATCGGTTTCAGTCTGTCTCGAGTTACCCAAGTAACGCATTTCGTCGGAAGGGGAGAGGAACTGGTTCAACTACACAACATACTTGGTAAAGGCCCCGAACGGCGGATAGTAGTGGTATATAGCTTCGGCGGTATGGGAAAGACACAGCTCGCCGTGGCCTATGCAAAGCAGTATCGGAACGATTATTCTGCAGTTTTTTAGGTAAATGCTCGAGACGAGGTATCGTTAAAATAAGGATATTTATGGATAGCCGATCGTATCTTGTCAGCGTATCCCTCCCTTGTCTATATTCAGAAGGCTTTAGAGGGTCGAGATCTGGACGTGACTGTACGGGCGGTTAAACGGTGGTTTAATAATCCAGGGAATAGCAATTGGCTTATTATCTATGATAATTATAATAATTATATGTTGGAGAATGAGTTGGACGGAGATTAAGAAGCCGCCTCGGCAGGTTATAATATACGCCCATTCTTCCCGGATATTTACTATAGCGCTATCCCCATCACAATACGAGCATTAAGGGTCGATCTCGGTTCCCACGTGCCACTAAAGAAGTTGAAAGCCATCGAGTATAGTCTGGAGATTCTATCCCACACCTCGCAACGATAAGAGCTACATAGAGGTAAATGAAAATCAGATGAGGGGTTAAGAAAGCTAACTAACTATTGTTTATAGACGCTACTGCTACCGAGTTTACGCAAGAGCTAGACGGGCTACCACTTACCCTTTCGACTGCTGGGGCTTATCTCCATAATATGCCTATAACATATGCCGAATATCTTCAGTTATATAAGAAGTTATAGCGACGTCTGCACATCACTACGCCGTCGCTGCTCTCGTACGACCGGGCCCTCTACTCGACATGGGATATCTCATAGACCCAGATTGAGCGGCAAAACACAGCATCTGCAATGCTATTGCAAATATGGGCCTACTTTGACCACAAGGATCTGTGGCTAGAGCTGCTTTAAGAAGGCCGACCACGAGGACCAACCTGATTTTAGGAAATGACATACGATATAATCGAATTTAATAAAGTAATACGTGTCTTGTATGATTATGGCCTAGCTGAGCCAGATATGTCGCCAACAGAATATACAGAATCGCGTGGGTATAGCATGCATAGTTGTGTGCACGCCTGGACGAGACACGTGTTGAACGAGATAGAGAGCAATGATTTGGCACAGCTCGCAATAATATACGTAAGCTTAAAGATACCAAAGAACACCGAACAGAAGTACTATACACTACAACGGCGGCTTCTAGGGCATGCAGCATTTTGTTCAACAACGATCTTGAACGGAACACCAGTTACTAAAGGAGAAGAGTGGACTTTAAAAGGACTAGGCGACCTGTTTAGAAACATGGCCCTATTTCAAGAGGCAGAGGCCATGTACAAGCGCGCACTGCAGGGCGAAGAGAAGGCACTTGGGCCAGCACCATGTATAAGCGTGCACTGCAGGGCGGAGAGAAGGTACTTGGGCCAGACCACCCATCAACACTTGATACTATTAACAATCTAGGTATTGTTTATTGGAATCAAGGCCGGCTTATGGAGGCAGAGGCTATATATGAGCATGCACTGCAGGGCAAAGAGAAGGCACTTGGGCCAGACCACCCATCAACACTTATTACTACTAACAACCTAGGTAATCTCTATCGAGATCAGGGCCGGATTCAAGAAGCAGAGACTTTGTATCGGCGTGCGCTACAGGGATATGAAAAGGCAATAGCAGAGAATATAACTCCTAGTATTGGTTCTCTCGAGAATATGGAAGATTTTGCAAAGTTTCAAGTTCAACAGGGCAAAACGCATGAAGCAAGATCTTTGTATATACGGTGCCAGGAAGGATTGAAGGCTGTGCTTGGTATTGAGCATAGCCGGTATAAGGCTATGACTCGAGAAATTGAGTTGTTGAGTGAAGATGGTGGACGATAGCGGCCGGGCGGGTTTGCTATTCTTAGTGTGTAGGGTCTGGTGATTTCCATATTGATTTCTGGGCGGGAAGGAGGAAGGTCTTTGAGCTTCGCAAAAAGAATTCGGAATTGTCCAGCAATCTTAATATTATCAATTCTATACCCACATCGCTCCCATTGGCCACCTCCATCGCCCCCAACGGCTCCTTGCAGCCTCACGAGCAATACGAGCTTAGCTTTAAAAACTCACTATATGAATTGCATACTGCGGAGTTATTTACACTGGCTAGTTCTGTTGAATTATCAAGGTAATCAGGGCGGTAATTTCAGGGGTATTATAAGACTGGTAGAAGAGGGTTATTAGGGTTATTAGGGGTTGGGCGTAGCCCGACTAAACTTTGAACGGAACATCGAACATCTGTAGCTTAATGAATACATTACCCGCCCTGAAACTTCTTAAGCTCCAATTATAAGCGCTTCAACCTGTGATACTATGGATCCGTGGTTGTTAATCTTTTCAACAGGAGGAAACAGGTGACTGGTATCATGGCTGGCCCCATCTGCCAGGTGAGACCCTGAAAATTCAAGCTCGATGTACCGAAGTACCTATATTCTCTACAGCCCGTTTTATTTTCGATTTGTATTTTCTATCGGCGCTTATATACTTCATGTTCATTGGAAGACTTAGGGGTTTAAATGCAGAAATGAAGAAGAAATCTTCCTCAGATTTTGGCAGTAATTCTTCCTGAGAAACAGCATTCGATTTCTCTCGAAATGAGAGTCTATTTGTTGTTTAACGCCCACAAGTCGGGCGGCCGGGGCCCACGGCAAGAGAAATGCACACCCGGGCAAGGTGAGCATATGAAAGTAATGAACGAAAGTAATGAACGAAAGGAAGGAGGCACATCGCCAACCCGCCATACCAAGCATCAACCCGCTCCGCCTCTTAGAATCCTGACAGGAGTCTCAAGATCTGCCGTCATCCGAACATCTACTGCACGATCTTGAAAGCCTCGAAACTCTCCGGGATGTCCGCCGCCGACGCGCCAGCTTTGGCAATCTCATTGAGCTCCACGGTGTCCAGCTTGGCCTCGACAATAGCCGTGTAGTTGTATTGCGTCCCATCAGCCAGGTACATCACATTCGGCTGCACGCACTCTGTCTCCGTCTCCTCCTCCTCCTCCTCCACCGTCGCGCCGCGAATCATCTTCCTGTTGTTGAACCCGTACCCCAGCCCGCCAAAAGGCCCGTTGCCCAGGCAGACGTAGTCGCGGCCGCGGCTGTCCTCCTGCTGGCGAATGGTGCCGCACCTGGGGGGGGCGTGCCCGCGCGCCTGGATGTTCCACTGGGGCGGGATGGCTCTGAAGCTGCCGCTGTTAAAAAAGGTTCCCGCGTTAACGCTGCAGCACGAGTTGGGGTTCCAGTTGTAGCAGATGTAGCCGCCTCCTGAAGTTGAGCAGCCGCCTGCGAACTCGAGGTGCAGGTCGACGGCGGCGGCGGAGGTGGCGAGAAGAGAGAGGGCAAGGAACTTCATATTGGCGGTTGAGAAGGATGTAAAAGAATGCTCTGAGAAGGCTTTTGAGTTGCTAGATGTGGAATCTGGCGTTTTCCTCGGTGATGCTTGAGCTGGTTGGAGGGGTGAAGAGTTCAACAGCTCCAGGACACAGAGGGGAGCCAGCCCTTTTATGCCTTTCCGGCCGGACGTCTCTCATCATCTGTTGTGAGGCAGGGTCCACAGTTGCTGCCATGGGAGCTCAGGCCAACCTGGGCTAGTTTCTTCTCTCTCACCGTGGAGGTAGTTGATTTCTTCCTCAATACACCAGCAACTCTGTTGCAACATCATTATCACCAATCTCTCCTTCCTCATTCGGCGGGATGCCTAGCCTGCCGGCTGACGCCTCGGATTTGTTTTCTCGGACCCAAGCGCCGACTGTTCCCCGTTCCAATATTTGACCGGCAGAACAAATCGGATTGTTGTCCGAGGGCGGCGGAAAGTGGAGCGAGCCGGCTGACGCCTCGGACTTGTTCTCTTGGACCAAACCGGCCGTTGTACTACACCGAACACCGAACCACGATGTCACTCTATGAGGCATCACCGCTAGTCATTGTGTCACCAAGTGGTGATGTCCCTCGCTCGCCTCAACCAATTCACCCCTGAAAGGTGACCACCCTGACTGTGATTGGGCTCTGTTCACGACGACCGCTACCTGATCGAAACACCTCAGGCTATGACTGCCTGCATCTTGAATGGGGATCACTGTGCTATCTCGGCGCTGGTGAAGCCTCGGTACTGTCTGACGAGTCCGAAGAAGAAGGCGTGGTCTGGATTCGTCCATCGCGACAGCCAAACCTGGCCTAGTACACAGTGTCAATTAAAGGATGTTCGGGTCGTTTATAATGGGCATTGATGGTGCTGAACTAACCGGAAACGTGCAAAGGCAGGGCAATTATTATAAAGTTTGGTGAAGATGAAGACTATCGAATCTGTCAGCGCTACTACTCTTTCGGTGATCCCCAAACCATACGCGCCGACGATGTCATGGAATTTGAGCTGCCTTCTGAGACGGGCATGAGCCGCACAACGTACTACAATTACAATCCCCCGCCATGAGTGGTACTGGTGTCGAGACCAAACCCCCACCCAGGTCAGCCTCTTCAACAGTTGGGATTCCGACCCACGGGGTGATCGGCCAGGTGAGTACTACCTAAATTGTCAAGTTGTGTTTTCACACGGGGAGTACAACTAACATGTGATCAAGCTGTTCGTCATGTGGTACGTAACTTGGAATCTCGTGGCTCTGACAAGGTCTTGCGGAATAACGTTGAGTCCCGGATGATATTGGTGATGAAAAAGGACAATGGGTCTCATTGAACATCGCTGTGGTGGTGACAACAGTCAGATACAAACATATCTACAAGCCCACGGTACTCAAACCCCACTCTGTAGTTTCACGGCTGAAATGGTAACTCCATCCTTTACCTAGTTGACAATCTGGTGTTGGCTCAACTGCACCCGTTGACATTATGAACCATTGCAGCTACTATGATGTCACAGACCAACCATATAGCAAGCCAGAGTGGAGACTGCAGCAGGCCGTGGTGGCCAATCAAGTGAAAGGTAACGACGGGGCTGCAGGACAGTGGGGCGCTCACCTCTTGGCAGAGGTGAGCCGGCTCGCCAGGAGCGCTGGGTGAGCGTGGTGAGCCAGGACGGATCACCAGGCTCACTTGGTGATCGTGGTGAGCCAGGTACGGAGGTACCTGGAGGATTGAGGTCTATATATACGGAGGAACTGGCTGGTGTAGATAGACAGTTCCGCAGTATGCAATTCACAATTGTATTCACGGTATCTTGTGTTTACATTGAGACATCTTGTTGTGCACTGTTTAGCTGCACCGAACCAATTGTCAGAAGTTACCTTCAACCCGTATCCCTTTCAGAGGTTCTGTACAGGGGTTCGTCACACAAGAACCCGTCGGGTTGTAAACGAGCTGCCTCACAGAACCAGCTATTGCAGAGAACATATTTCTCGTCAAAATGGCGCTTGTACAGCTGTTTTGTCTGCTCGAAACCAGAAGAAAGGGCCTTGTGCTCGAGGTCGTTATTATGGTTAATAAAACGTCCGTGGGTGACATATCTTGAGAATTGAAAGTATTGTGCGGGGGAGAGTTAGTGTGTATGCCAGACCAGGTCTATGTCCAGGGTAGGCACGCCTACCGGCCCTACTTAAAATAGTCGAAGAAAGCTACTGTATCGTATGATCGCACGCCGAAGGATTAAGTATAAATAGGGGCTGTAAATCCATCCAAATCGTATTATTATTAGGGCGAACTTAGCCTAACGATTCACAGCAGCTACTAAGTCGTACGTAGTAGGTTAGTAAGTAGGTAAGTCGTGATTCCTTGCCTAAATCTCGAGTATTTCCACAGATAAAAGCTGAGAAACGTCGGTCTGAGACGTGCCTTTCTCTTTCAAAACAACGAGGAGGTCGGGAGAGAGGCCTAGAAGTGCAATATCCCGCACTTGTGACTTTAAGAGAGAGAATTTTGCCGGATCAGTATCGATGGCTTTGCGCTGAGTATGACCACTTTGTTAATCGTTGTCCTGGAGATATTTTGTATGTTGGAATAAAACCAGCATGTTACCTATAAGCAGTTTCCACTGTAGACCGCGCTCAGCAGCTCCGCTTAGACGGACTGCTGTGCATCAGCCTCTATAAACATACGGATTTAATATGAAGGAATGCCAAATCATCAGCACGTCTATGTTATCAGAGGCAGAACCATTAGCATATCCACGATAAAATCACATATGCAAAAGCTTAGTAACTCACCGAGCGGTGGCAGCGAGGTTTGTATTGCAGTATCGCTCACGGAGAAAACCCAACGATAAAACCGGGCGGTTGTAAGACGAAGAAACTAATCCGACAATGCTTCTTGGTCTGTCTGGTTCGATTGCGCTCATTATCGCACCCTGTCCCTCAAGGCCACGAAAGACTCGAGAAGCCTCAGATGGGTATCACAGGAGGCAACAGTGGGGGGGTCCATTGGAACTGTGTCACAATCTGGTGACGAATGTGTTGAGAATGCTTGGAAGATTGAATGGTGCTTGGCCGGTTAAATACCTAACGTGTGCACTAGCTTACAGGACAAGCTGAAAAGAAACACTATGGGATAAATGTGTTTGCTGGATGAAGATAAGAGAGACGACAGGAATGCGGTCCAAGTTTCTTGGTGGTCCAAGTTTGTTGTATGATGGAGAGTTTAAAAGCTTTCAGAAGCTCAAAGACAAGCAAACTCAAAGTGCTCAAGCTCAAGGCACTGCTTGCCTTACATAACAAGGAAAGAGGACGCCAATGGACCCCCACTTGAAACCTAGAACGTCCGACTCTTATTCTCCATCCAAAATCCGGCATCAGAGCACCATGGACGCCTTCCAAACGAACAGGTGTTTACAGACAGTAGCTACCTCAACCTCATATCCTCGCCCCCTTCCTCTCCTTGTCCTCCCACAGCCTCCCCACCTCCCCCCTGTCAACAATCTTGATCCCCCTCGGGCCACTCTTCCTCTCAAACTCAACAACCACCACCCTCTCCGCATCCCCTCCCCTCGTGTTCCCCTTTTGAGCCCCGAGCTCAGGACCAGGCGACTCCAAACTCAACACGGTCTCGTCCCTGTACAGCTGCCCCGGCGCAAACATCACACTAGGCGAGATTACCTTGTCCTTCCAGCCAATCAGATGGGTATTCGACACCTTGGGCTTGAGCTTTCCATCAAACGAGTCGTACTCCCCGCTTGAAGTCGGCACCTTTTCCAGAAATTGCCTCACCCCCTTCCGCTGCGTGGCATAATCCGTATTGGAGTTGTTCAAAAAGGGGGAGAGGAGATTCAAGAGGTAGAATTGCGGTGGGTAAAGCATAATCTCCCCGCTTTGGGCCTTGGACAGCCAGGTGAGGGGGTACTCCCACTCCGCAGAGGTGTGCTCCTTTTCCTGCTCGCCTTCTGGGGTAGGGGTGTGGATCTTGCTGGGCTTTTCGGAGAACGAGTTGGCGGAGGATACCGGGAGGAAGTAGAGGTACATTTGGGTTGTGAAGCGCTTTTTGGCTGGGGGTGGGGTGATCCATCTGGTGAAGGGGATGAGGGAGTCTATCTGTGTTAAAAGTCCGTTGACGAGAAAAGGGGCGAGGAGCACAAAAACAAACCTGTGTCCGCCACACCACCATGGTCCTTGACCCAATCCCCAAAGGGGATCTGTCTGTTGTAGACATCCTTTCGTCCCTTGTCCCTCACTTCATCACTGACTTCAACAGGCCTTTTACTCAACAAAATACCCGTCTCTTCAAAAGTCTCACGGATGGCAGCATTTCGATAGACGATATTGTCCAGGTGCTCATCTTTGGCCGTCACCCCATCATGAAACTCATCCACGTTGCCACCAGGAAACACATGCGCGGACGCAAAAGAAGAGGCCGTCTTGACTCTCTTCAACAGCAATACTTTGTTGGTGGGCGAGATGACCAGGATGCTGGCACTGGGACTGGGCGCAGGCCACTTGGTTGACGACGGTGCAGCTGACTTGGTGTACAGTTTGGGGTCCATTGTTTTTGCTTTTTCAAAAAGGGGCCCTTGGTCCTGATTTCTCGACGTTGTGACGAAATTTCTCTTGCTGGCGTTGAGCACCGAGTGGACGGTTGTGAGTGAGAGTGAGCGCGTCGCGTCAGAGAGCCGGAATGAGTGAGCAAAGCCAGAACTCCTGGATATGACGACAAAATGCAAAGAGCTCATGTTTAATAGAAACCAAAATAGAAAAAGACTCCAAATTGGGGAAAAGAACCGTCCAGGTTCCCCCTCACTCACGCTATCCTCATCGTCAAACGGTTTCCGGTCACCGTGATGAGGGGATCTTCTGAAACTTGGCGCTATCAACCTCGGTTTGCTTCGGCCCCGCTTATTTCCGGCCCATTCCCGCTGACACACTCCAACAGCATCACAGGCAGACTGTCACTCAGAATTGAAGGCATAAATCCATTGTTTCCAGTCATCACTCATATCCATACTCGTGTATAGTACACATGGTACAGTGAAACAGCGCAAACACTCCAAAAACCACGACTCGGTCCTCACAGCCTCTTCCTCTCCAGCCCTCGCAAGCTGACCCGCCACAGACAACAAACACTCTTGCTCTCACACCACTGCTTGACATCCGCTGGTGAGACCTCCCCATCATATCCCGCCTTGTCCAGCTGTCCTGCATTGAGCCACAATGCCAAATCCTCGAGAATAATCGGATCATACATCAAGATCTTCTCATACCAGGAGGGGCCAGTGGGGTCTTTGGATGAAGGTGCTGATGTGATAGCTTTTGTAATGTATGCAAACACAGAGACTTGCTCCGTGGTTGGACTGGCAATGAGAGACATTTCTGCATCTTCATTGATGGACAGATCTACCCGGGGAGGAGAAGAAAACATGTCTTCATCTGCTGGTCGAGCACGTCTTGCAGCTGAAGGCGGGGACGAGAGTATGGGATCATCTAGGTCAGAGTCGGCATCCGAGTCGGGAATCTCAATCACTCCATCCCTGCCTTGTGGTTTACTTCGACGTGGCGTTGTTGCAGGTGATCTACTACGCCTTGGAGAGGTAGCTCGTCTTGCAGGAGATTTTTCACGGGGCTTGGTTCTTTTCGGGGAGCTTGCCGTCTCTTTGCGTGGCCTTCCCCGTGGAGATGCGAGACCGGCAGATGTCTTCCTCTGCATATCATAATCTTGAAGACGGGCGATGAGGTCTGGCTTATTCCCTGACTGCTTGAGGCTACGCTCCTGTAACAGCTTCTTCAGCTCCAGGACCTTCAGACTACTGTAATCAGCTGATGGTGCTGCCGTGCCCGAATTGTTCCTTGGTCGACCTCGTGGACTGATCGCCGCAGCAGCCGTGCTCGGTTTGGAGGCAGCTTGGGAGGTGGTGGTGGATATGGTCCGCACACTGGTAGCCGCGCCTCCTGTGGCTGACTGGACCCTGCTTGCCCAACACTGGTCAAGAAGCGCAATCATGGCTGAACGTTTCTTTACAGGTTTGAGCCCAAACTTGGAGATATCTCGTGCTAGCTGGGCATCGGTGAAGAGTTCATACTTTGGTCTGGATGGAGCCATAGGCCCGGATTGCAACAGAATAGACGGGTCGGCGGTGGGTTTACTGGATGTGGATGCTGGTTGTAGATTTGGAGTGATGGGCGAATGCGCGAGCTGTGGGCTGCTCGACTGTGTCAACAAGAATTCGTGATGCTCTTGGTTGGATGGTGGAAGGTCAAAGTCAATATAGTCATCCCAATCTGCGTCATTCGGCTCGGGAATTTGTTCGACTACGGCGTTGGCGATATGGAACTTTGGCGAAGCATGCGCTTCTGACCCGGTCTCTGCAAATGAATCGGTGGTGTCAAATATACTATTGCCAGTATGTCTTTGTTCATCCGCCCCCGGCGTTGGGGGTGATGCTTCCCTCATGGGCTCTGGCGCCTTGGTCGGCGGTGGTGGCAAAGACTGCTCCGTCATCTGCACAGAGTCATCCAACGATTCCTTGTCATTGGCACGAGATTGCGAATGAGCGGGAGGAGGTGATTCGGTCAAATCCAATATCTCCATGTCCAGAAGAGCGCCGTCCTCATCTCGCGCGCTAGCCCCCCAGAGAAGACGCGCAGGTTTCCTGCGAACCGCAAGATCGCTTGTCACCGGGCTGGGAATTGCAAAGGGGTCATCTGTCGTGTCGTTTGACAACTTCATCGCCTCGTGAAGCGCACGCAGCAAATCGGGGTCATCCTCTATCGCAAGTTGACTTGAAGTTCCAAACACGAAATCCTGTTGGGCCACTTGTCTCAAGGCACTCTCTGGGGACAATAAGATGGGCTTTTTGGGCTCAGGCTTCTTCTTAGATGGTCTTGGCTTTGCAGGCTTCTTCCCAAGCTTCCCTTTACCTCTCAACACCGTGCTCGATGACCCAGTCTGCGCATCTGGCGTGTCGAGGTAGCCGAGGAGCGAATCTTGCTTAGACGGCTCTTCCTGGTTTCTGTAGGCTGCAGTAGCCAGCTCCGTGATCGTGCGTGGCTTCTTCTTGACAGCCTTTGACTTGACTGGGGATTCTGCAAGGGCTTTGCCATTCGCATTGATGTTGGAGATGCTCGCGGCAGCCGTCTGCACCATCTCGATGAGCTTTCTCTTGCCCAACACATCCAGTGAACTTGTCCCTGAACCGGGGCCAACTGATTGCACATCATCAGACGTCCGACCGAACTTATCATGAAGAGCCTTGAAGACATTGGCTTCTGGCGACTCCACTGACCATGTTGATCTTTCCACTGGTGAATCAGCCACAGGTATTAATTGTCGGGGTAGGCTTTCGCGTGGCGGGGTCCAATCGAATCTCCTTTGCAGAGCTGGCTCCAGAATCACCGGTCCGTCCTCTTCTACTGGTACCACAGCATCTGTTGAGTTTGTCGTTGGAGGTTTCGATATTGACGGTTCCTTTGCAAAATGCCTGCTGGCTGTCTCCACTTTCTTTTTCGTGACCTTCTCCTTGGTGGCTGGCTTGGTCACCTTGCCTTTAGCAATTGTTGTCTGTGTTGTCTCCTGAACCGACTTTGGTTGTTTCGCCCTCTTCTTCGAGACCGAGACATCAACCCCCGAGGATTTCAAAAGAATTACACTGTCATCCGCCACTAGAAGCGGAGGGTCTTTCTTTGTCCTTGTTTTCGTGGGCGCTCGGGGTTTGGACTTTGGTTTCGACTTGTCGAGCGCAGTATGTTTCAGAGCTGGCATTGGAATCCCAACCTCCGGGCCTGAAACGTCCTCTGCGCCTGGATGTTGGGCTGCCCGCCACATCGTCGTAGCGCTCGTAAACGTTATTGACGCATCACCGGGGATCGTAGCAGCATTCTTGCCGCTGCGGAGTGTCGTCGGTTTAGTCGTCGGGACAAGGTCGCAAAGTGAGGGAAATTCGGGAGAAGAAGATATGACGACCAGATACTCGTCGCGCGCCATGCCTCTGGGTGGAGAAGAGAACATCTTCAAGCCCCGTGGCAGGATGCGCCCGGTGCGTGGAAGGGTGCGACGGGAGATGTTAAAGGTCGACAGGATGGCAACAAGAGTCGGAAAAAAGAAGATAAAGTGCAGTTTCTGACAGTATTCATTTGGGATGAGCGATATGCATCATCATAAAGGCTCGAGAAGCATCACACCGTTTGCAATGGCACCACGCAAGCAACACAAGAGTTGCTGGTTTGCCCTTGTTTGGATTCTCAGCGGGGCACCTCAGCCAAGCCTGTCACATCGCGAAGACCGCGCGGCGTCACCTGACTGGGCACATGAGGGCCCAACCTGCGGTCCACTTCCTTTTTGTGAGCTGTGGTGGGGTCGATTCTGGTCTGTGCACACAAGCCCACAGACCCCGGCACCCACCAAATCACTCCAAAACTGATCGAAATTCAAGACTCTTGAAATTTTGCCAGTCCTGCCCTCTCCGACACCGCAAAGCAACCCAAACCCGTCTTTTCGCAGCACTCATCACCAAGTCGCAGCCATGGAGAACGACAAGGGAGAGATCGTCGATCTGTAAGCGCTCGCCTTCTTTTCCCGCAAAACCCGACGACCACGAGACGGACGGCGACGAGGGATGGATCGGTTGTGGTGGGTTGTGTGCTGACTTTGGAATCTCTACTCCAGTTACGTCCCCCGCAAGTGCTCTGCGACGGGCCGCATCATCAAGGCCAAGGACCACGGTTCTTGCCAGATCACCATCGCCAAGGTCGACGAGAACGGCCGGGCCATCCAGGGCGAGAACATCATCTATGCTCTCTCCGGTTTCGTTCGCGCCATGGGCGAGAGCGACGATGCTCTGAACAGACTTGCTCAGCGTGACGGTCTCCTCAAGAACGTCTGGTCTGCCCAGAGATAAATTACGAATCCTGGTTGTTGGGAGGAGATGATGGTACGTCGGACGACTGGGCTGTGGAGCATCAATCGCGGCGGGCGGAAATGCTGACGGATTCTTTCTGGCAGATGTGCGTTTTTTAAAAACTTTCCGGACGCCTTTTTCAACGAACGATTTGGACGACGGGCAGCGGGATGACGGCTGGGTTTGGGAATCATGCGTTTTCTTTTTTTCGCAGAGATACAGCTTTGCCGGTAACTCTCGACGGCGTCAACGGACATTATCTACTCGGAACAAATACACTGGCATCGTGATCACTTATTCCTGCCCCGCTCGGAAAGCCCCCTATTCCTCGCTTCGATTTTTGCGTGACTGCCCCCCCGGCCAGCAAAAGCTCACCAAATCCATACTCGATATTTGGGGAGTCTGGGGCTACCTCGATAGCTCCCATGCCGTAGATCAATCAAGAGGCCTCGAAAAAGCCGTGACGGAGAAGTTGCTCGTTATGGTACAGATACGGATCTTACATTTTACCTTGACTCGTCCAGTGTGCATGGTGTCTGAATGAAGTGTTTACCTACCTATTTCCATCAATTGGCATTTGGCTCAGGGGCCAGTCTTAGCAGATGGCCCCAAAATTCCCGCCATCAAGGTGTCGCTGCGGTCAGTGCCGCGCTAACAAAGGAAGCTGGAAACGGATCGGATCGGGGCGCGATGTCACAGACACCATGACGTCCACCACGATCGGGCGGCTGAGGGTCCGGTTGGCGATCACAACAATCTTGACGTGTCGCTGCACAAAACAAACGGGCCACCGCTGTAAGCAAGTGTTTGCAGTGTCCCTTCTTTCCTCTTTCACAAAAAGTCCCATGTTTCTCCTACTTCGTGCTTGTAAACTCTCGCAAGGTATTGCATCTCTGTCCACTCTCCACCTACACTCCCACTACTGTCAGCCAGCTCTCAACTTCACCATCATGCCGGCTAGTAGATATCCCAAACGAAAGCCCTCCGCCAACGGTGCGCCAAGCACTAATGGCACGTTGAATGGTACCAACGGGTTCATCAAGCCCGACCCTGACCAACCGCCTCCAGAGAAGAAGCGCAAGACCGTCCTCGCCGAACCCCCTTCCGAACCATCTCTGTCGTCAGACCCCTTGCGAGAGCCGCACCCCTTCCACCAAGATGCCGAAAAACATGGCATCGTCCTCCGGAAGTACTACCCTCACGAAATGTCCACTGCGCGTGCCAGGGCATACAACAACAATGAGTTGCCCCGACCTATCGAGCTGCTAAAGGCTGCACAGGCAGATACAGCTGAACACAGAGCCAACACGCCAGTTGCAGGGGCGGTGGTGCACTGGTTCAAGATGGACTTGAGAACAACAGACAACACGGCTCTGTTTTGTGCCAGTCAAAAGGCTCAGGCTGCTGGCGTGCCACTCATTGCGCTGTACATCCTCAGTCCGCAAGACTTTGAGGCACACTTGACTGCTCCTGTGAGGGTGGACTTTATGCTGCGGACACTGGAAATCTTGAAGAAGGACCTTGCGGCGCTGGATATCCCTCTCTGGGTCGAGACTGTGAAGAAGAGAAAGGAGATACCAAGCAGGATTGTGGAGCTGATGGGCGAATGGGGAGCTAGTCACTTATTTGCCAACATGGAGTACGAAGTGGACGAGCTGAGAAGGGACGCCAGGATGGCGAGACTGCTGGCAAAAAGGGGGCTTGTCATGGATGTGTTGCATGATACCTGTATTGTGCCGCCGGGAAGGCTGACAAGTGGAAGCGGTGGGCAATATGCAGTGTACACACCCTGGTTCAGGACTTGGGTTCGACACGTTCACGAGAATCTAGACTTGTTGGAGCTGGTCGAATCCCCAACGAAGAATCCCGAGTCCACGAGACAAAAGCTTGCTCATCTCTTCGAGTGTCCAATACCCTCAGCACCAGAAAACAAGACCCTGAGCAAGGAGGATCGGGAACGGTTTCGGGCTTTATGGCCGGCTGGGGAGCACGAGGCAATGAAACGGTTGTCCAAGTTTGCAGACCAAGCCATTGGGAAGTACCAACAAAACCGAAACATCCCTTCCAACCCCGGCACCTCCAGCCTTTCTGTTCACTTTGCCAGTGGCACACTCAGCGCGAGGACAGCTGTTCGGACAGCCCGTGGTCGTAACAATACGAAAAAACTCGACGGAGGGAACGAGGGGATCCAGACTTGGATCAGGGAGGTTGCGTGGAGGGACTTTTACAAGCATGTGCTAGTCCAATGGCCGTATATCTGGTGAGTCGCTCTCTGTTAGTGATCTAGTTCTCTTCTGACAAGCCATACGCAGCATGAACAAGCCCTTCAAACCAGAGTACGCCAACATTGAGTGGTCCTACAACATGGAGCACTTTGACGCTTGGAAAGAAGGACGTACCGGATTTCCCATCGTCGACGCCGCCATGCGCCAGCTCCGTTCCATGGGTTGGGTGCACAACCGCTGCCGGATGATTGTTGCTTCCTTTCTGTGCAAGGACCTGCTTCTTGACTGGAGGATGGGGGAGAAGTACTTTATGGAGCATCTTGTCGACGGCGATTTTGCGAGCAATAACGGAGGATGGGGGTTTTCGGCATCAGTGGGCGTGGACCCGCAGCCATACTTCCGCATCTTCAACCCCCTGCTGCAGAGTGAGAAGTTTGACCCTGATGGAGAGTATATTCGCAAGTGGGTTCCAGAGCTGAAGGAGGTCAAGGGCAAGGCAATCCACGACCCATATGGGCGAGGGGCTGCCGCCTTGGCTATCAAGGCAGGGTATCCGAAGCACATTGTTGACCATAAAGGTGCAAGAGAAAGGACATTGGCTGCATACAAGAAGGGAATAGACAGCGGTCTTTGAGACAACATTTTTAACCACCACAGAAATTCATTTTCATCCAGGCCAGCCAATACCCCGAAGCTCTTGCCTTGCAAAGGGATGACGTGTTAAGCCATGTTATCCTGCCTGACATCTTCCGCACCAGGAAGGAGCCAAGCCACCTCCCACCGTGTCACGCGTGCCTTCCAAAAGTCTACTGAACGGCAAGGTTTCATGCGTCTTCTTTCACTCTCAGCATTGCGTTCCGACCTCAACCTCTCGACCTCTCCAGAACCATCTTCAGTCTCTTGTGGCCCCTCAGATTGCCCAGCTCATCATCCTCCTTCCGGACGGCAATTGCATAGCCACATCAACATGTCGTTCGTTAAGAAGGAAGAAGGGGGCCACATCAAGGGCGAGCCCGGTGGAAAGTTTGACATGTCGAAGATTCCAATGGCTCCCCCCAAGGCCACCTCCAAAGCCTTGATGAAGCCCAAAGACGAGGGCAAACCGGTGAGCACCCCGGCTTCTCTGAAGCTACGCCCTGCTGACTGCAAGAACAGAACTTCTTCGCACTGCCCGAGTACAAACCGCCGGCCGGCCGTGGTCGTCGCAAGGGTCGCTATCGAGGTGGAAACCACATCACCCATTCTGTCGGCAATTTTCGCATAAAGACAGTGTACAACCGTGACCGTGATGAAGTCAAAATGTCTGTCTCAAGCATCAATGCATTCACTCCATCTGCCTTGAGAAGGGCGCGCGCAGAAGCGGACTGGGCTTCGGTCGAGCGAACTATTTTCGAGAAATTACGTCGAGCCCATTTCAACATTCAGCCAGTTCCTGATGACTTTGGCAAGCTCGGCGTGTGTATGAACCATTCTTTGATTTTTCATGCTCCCATTGGTTTTGGGTCAATGGACGACAGCAATTCGGTTCTCATCAACAGGGACGTGTCTTTCAGAGTTCGCCCTATGAACAATTTACCCCAGCCTACGCCGATGCAGTCTCAGGTCAACGATTTCAAGCGCGGTTCTGCCCCAGTCATCAAGACCGAGCCGTCTTCCGCTGCACCTTCCACAAGCAGCGCTGCTTCACAGGAACTCAAATCGATCTTCTCTCACCAGGGGCCCGTTCCTGCGTTTTCCCTTTTCGGCTCGATCCTCCCGGGCGCCCGCTAGTTCCCTCAAAAGGCCGAGTCAACTCCTCCAAATTCGCCCATCTTCGCCTCGAGATCCTCTAGCGACAGCTCTAGCTCCGAGGCAACTACATCTCGGCCTTTTAATTGAGCCCTGCACGAACTTGAAATGGGAGCTGTCTCGGGGTTTGAGTGGCCAAGCGGCGGAGCAAACAGGCAGCTTTGCGGCCGCGTGCATATGGGCATTGGCTTTGATAGTGGTTTGGAACTCTGGCATCAGTGAAGGATATATTGTTAGCAGTGTGGTTTTGGTGCTGGCCAGCGGGGAGATGGATTGGAATTGCCAATACCTGGATGTGAACTTTATGCTGGTGAAGATCTTCATGTCGTCTACTTGTCACTCGCGGATGGTGTTGGTTGCAGGAAAGTCAATACAGATTAATGGAATTTGCACTTGTTCATCCTGTAAAATTATCAGAGCATACATTCCAAATCAGCACGATGGTGCCATTCATATTGTTTCCAGCTCAAAGGTTGCTTGAAGTAGTCTCCCACAACGAGCCAAATGTCTGATCTACCATTCTATCATCACCCTCTCTGTTCATCCCCGAATTCATACAGCTTGTGCATTTCACAAATGATATCTTACCGTTGTATACGCTTGCCAACCAGTGTTTGGAGGTCGTAGTACAATCTCGGCTCCGAATTGTGAGGAAGTCCTCTTCAGTCCAGGGGGCGTTGGCGCAAGCAGGTCGGTGACGAAGGTTAGTGTGTAGAGATATGTACCACCTGGCCTACCCTATGGGCAGGATGTCGTTTTGGTTCCATATAATGGGGGTCAACAATCCATGGATATTTGTCTGTGGTCATCGGGACAGAGATGATGAACTACTTTCTATTGGGGAAAGTATTTTGGCCCTATCACTTCTTCATTTGTGTTCGTCTTCGACTAGCCAGACACTGAGAAAACAGGCTGCTCGAGGACGGAGGCTTGGATACTATCGTTCATCTTGTGTATGGTAGGAAGTCTAGGCGGGGCGGGTCAGAACTTCTTGGTTGTTTCTCGTGTGATTCTGCCTGGATATGAACCTTGTCATCTCATCTAGGATTCTGCCTGATGAGGAGGTGCTTGTGTTTGGCAAATCTTGCGCTCCTTCCTTTCGATTCAGGAGCTTTATCTTGGAATTTACTCTTTCCATCTCATCTGTTGTCGCCAGCGGAGTTGTGGGGCGGTAAACAAAGAATAGGAGAGATAAATATTCTCCCCGTCGCCAGACCAATTTTCCTCCTCACTTCCACTTCCCGACTCCTCTTTTCCCCAAACAGCTGCCACTTTGGCGCAGCTTTCAACGACTCTCACTGCTTGGCTTTGGCCCATATTCCACCACCGCCAGGACCCCATCATGGCGATCATCGACGTCCTCGGTATTTCCGTCACCGTTGAAATCAACGGTGAGACAGCCACGGAGTACAACCCGATCCCTCCCGCCGAAACTGATGGGTGACCATAAACATGACGGACCCCTCACGTTGTCAAGTATATTGAGGCCAAGTCTGGCGCCAGCTTCGCCTTTCGACTCAACAGCTTGGGTTATCGCTTCACTGGGGACAAGAACCGTACGTACGAATGGTCTACAAGCTACGTCAAAGCGCATCTTCTTGTAGATGGCACTCGATTGAAGGTCCACGGAGGAGGCGTTTGGTACAACGATCACTATCAGTCCTGACCTCCTACGTCTGTGCCGACAAACACGCCGCCGGGGATGTTAATCAATATGCTGTGGGATAAAGGACTCAACCGTCATCTGTCGTTTACATTTGGCAATCTTGACGTGGGTGAGTAAATAAAACCTAAGTAACCCGTAAACAGGCACATGACGGATGCTGCATAAATGCTAACAGCATGGTAATCGCAGCGGAAAGCTCCGACACGACTACAAAAGGAACCAAAAAGACCAAGAAACATGGGACCTTTATTGTCGAATTCTTCAACCACATTGGAACAATCGAGTCACGAGCAAAGAATCGGTTTGAGGGGCCAACTGGTATTTCCTCACTGCCATCAGAAACCATCCCGCAACAAGCCGCAACCAAAGCGCTTGATGGCGAAGCCTTTAATTGTTGGGTCACCTTTAAACCTGTACCATCCCGGCCAAGGACTAGCATAACATTACGCGACGGCGCGATGGTGGACCCCTGGGAGCGACCTTTTGCACGATACGAGTTTCGCTATCGTCTCAAGGGTAGGTAGTATTTCTCAGCTGATACCGAAGCCGGTGCTGGTGTCTGCAACTATGATGCTGATTCAATAAACAGACGGCCTCATCAAAGAAGGTATCATTCCCGAGCCCTCCCTCGAAGAACAAGTTGCTCAGATGAGTGACGAGAAGAGGAAGGAGGCGCTACTCAAGGCTTTGAAGCGCGAAAAGGTAAGCTACCATCAGAACACATAGCCACACGGATATCATATCATCATGTCAGACGCTAACCCTGTTGTTTGAACCCCTAGGAACAAGAGGAGGAGATTGAGACTCTTCGCGACATCAAGACAATCAAGTGAGAGAGGGACGAGAGTGACGACGATTCCAAGAATGACCCATGCCGATGCCAAACGAACCAACACAAGAGAACCAGGCGAGTGTCCTGCACAGAGATTCTGGAATCAGAAGGGGATAGCGAGGATGAAGACACGCTTGTTGACCTTACCGGCGACACAGATTAATGGGGCCAGGAGGCAATGGTGACCTTTTAACACAGAGATTATGGGAGTAACCAGGATTATGTCATCTCTTTGCTCTCATTGTTGATTTACCTAGTCAACACACCAGAGGACCGATGCCACCATACGTTGAGTCGGTTGCGAAAGTAGACAGCCCCAAAATCAAATCACAAAGTATTACATTAAGAATATTCTACATGCACCCATGTTGCAGCTGTCCATGCTATTCATGACCGAAGATATTACCATCCCAAGAGCAAAGACATGGTTTTCCCGAAGCCCCCAAACGCCTTTTATAGGTGTATCGGTCCATTATAATGCACCCATGGAAAAGACACACTGGAAATACACAGTCCCAAAACACCCAACGGATTTCCCTCGCCGAGCTCATCAGTCCTCGGTGAGATCAATCTCCATCTGGCCATGGGATAATCTCCGAGTTTTGTACCGAGTCTCGAAGGCAGGATCTGGGGCCCAATCGTCCACTTCCATCCTGTCAGCTTCGCGCTTGAGCCTCGCAGGCTTCGTGTCCGGTCCAAACTATTCTGTTGTCAGCTTTACGCCTGATCAGTGTCAAATTTGAGCGCATTCAAATTCGCACCTTTTGCTTCTCCAGAAGCTCTGCCAACTTCCGTCGAACCTCTGTTTCACTCATCTCCTCGACATCGCCGGAGACCGTTGGCCGCGGAATAATGCCTTCTTTGATGAGACCCTCTGAAAAAACATCTGGTAAGCAACAGGCTAGCTGCAGACTCGGGCTCTTTGTTTTGCACTAACCTTTCGAACGATAACGGAACTCAAAAACCGCAAAGGGGCGTTTTTTCGGATCATGATAGTTGTCTGTTGGATACAACCCAGGATGATCAGCCCGAGGGCGAACGACGGAGCTAGAAACAGCTGTAAGTCATTCGGGTTCAGTTGTCATGGCAGAAATGTGACAAACCTCGTGACGCAGTCAACAGCCCTGCCCTTGAGGGCTTTTTCGGCCATGGTCACTGTCGTTTCATTCTCGGTGCCGGAACCACTGATTATTTGCGGCTTATAGCCTTCAGATACGTCCATGTGATACAAATGGACTTTAAGAACCCCGGTCTCTTTCGCTCGAGCGGTCTGCTTTTTGACTTGATCGGCCGTGAACTGGTCCGACTCGACTGCCATCATTATTACCTAGTGAGTATCTTCCCATAACGTCTGAACCCCCCCCCCCCCCCACGGAAAGTCAACCTACCAACATTGAGAGCTGAAAAACAAAAAAATCGATTGATGTAGCTACCCCCACGAGTTTGTGACACCGTCGAACCCACTGTCCGCTCTACGAGGCTGAGACCGAGTTTCTCGACACGATCATTAAATGTTAAATGGATCATGCCTGTCTCGCGGCCGTCATTGACGACAGTGAAGCCAACATGATCGGATACGTAGTGAAATCGTCGAGGCTGAATGCTGACTCGGTAATGATAAAAGGCCCCAGGTTTGGCTTCAATGTACTTGATGACGTGCGGAAGGTCGGGGGTGGCGTGGTGATCAAACTCTTCACGTTGCATCTCAATCTGCATGGAATCCGCGTCGGGGTCGTCATATTCTTTCGTGGGTCTGTCTGCCACCTCCACTGTCACGGTGAGACCAGGAATAGATGGGAGAATAGCCATGGCGTCCAGATTCTCGGTGCTGCGTGGTTGATGAGATGGGATGTCGTCGCAACTTGATGCAAACAGGTAGCAGAAGAAATGCATTTTCCACTTAAGCTTTAGCGCGCCCCTGAACGGGTGGCTGTCGCGCAGTCACGTGCTTACGTGTCCGCTGCTTTGCGAACTGAGGCTGAAAGGAGCAGCAGCACGGACCCTGATGATGCCCTTCAATCCCCTTCCATTGCCTTTTTGTCACTCGAGCATTTCGCCCAATGGCTTATCAAATTTGCAGCACCAATGCTGCCATTTCCCCATCCTATCTTTTACATAAACACTGACATCCCATTCCAACACCTTCAGAAGCCCATCATCCGCCAACATCACCAACAACAACCAATCATCAGCCCGCATGGCTCAGTGGTAGAGCGTGTCACTAGTAATGACAAGGTCGTCAGTTCAATTCTGGCTGTGGGCATCTAGACTTGCTTTTTGGAACTCCATTTTTGACGACTCCATCTTCATGTTGTGTGTGGTGGAGTCTGCGGTTCAGGAAGGTTACATCTTTGTGCGGCTCTAGCTACTGTCGGGTTAGGGTTGAGCGAGTGGCCCTAAATAGAGGTCAAGACTACCTGCGCCGTGCACGATGCAAGTAACCTCCGATTGGGCTCGGGGCCAACTGGATGGCTCCGAGTGCACTCGGTAGGTCACCTCAGAATTCGCAACGGACTCCGGTGCCAGGTGTAACGGTCTCTGTTAGTCTCCGACAGCGGTACGTCCGTAGCACAACAGGTTCATTCGCCGCGCGGTGAGCTCGGTCCGGCCAGCAACGGAGGGAATTGAGTCCAGGATGGTATAAGTAAGTCCCCCATCCACACCTTTCTTTTGCTTGAGTATCTTAATCAACACACAGTCACTCAATCATTTCACCAACGACATCAACGCTTCCATCAAGACCAAGATGTCCCCCAAAACCCTCCGCATCGGCGTCCTCCTCGAGCTAGTCCAGCTCTCCGACATCATGGGCATCGATCTCTTCGGTAACCTCTCGGCCAGCTACTTGAACCAGGTCCTTCCTCTCGACCCCAAGTTTGGCGTCTTTACCCCTCACGCAATGAACATTGAGTTCTTTTACATCGCCTCCTCCCTCGAACCGGCAACCACCACGCCCCCCAACGCCTCCCTGCCAAACTCCATCGGCGGGTTCAGATTCTTGCCCAATGTGACCTATGATGACTGTCCGAGGGACCTTGACATCATCCTCATTGGCGGCCCGCTGCCCACCCATAGACCTGAAGCAGCGGACAGGTTCATGAAGGAGGCCTGGGGCAAGACGAGGGTGTGGATGACGACTTGCATTGGGAGCTTGTGGCTGGCTTCGACTGGGTTGTTGGAGGGAAAGAAGGTGACGACCAACAAGGAGTTTTTGCCAGTGGCGCGAGCGGGATTTCCCGGCACCGAGTGGGTTTACCAGAGGTGGGTGGTGGATGAGAAGCCTTATGAGGGGGGGGATGGCAAGGGGGAGCTCTGGACAGCGGGAGGGGCGGGGGCTGGTAAGTTTCCAAACTCAGTGCTGAACTGATAACGGTGGCTAACCTTTGTGGATAGGTATCGACATGATTGCGAGGTATTGTCTGGACAACTTTGACAAGGAGTTTGTCAACATTATGGCGCTTGAGGGGTTGGAGTTTAATCCTGGAGGGCAGGCTGGCCAGTTTTACCCCGTCAAAGAAGGTGAGAGGAGGGTTATTGTGTGAGAGTTGATTGTAAGAGTTATCTTTAGATTAAGGTTTTGCCATGTAAACAAGATTCTGTCTCTTTGTGCTGAGCAGAGGTGAAAGCAGCTGGCAGTACAAAATAAAAGGGCGGCAAATGCAAGAGAGCATAGGCAGGTACATATACGTAGGCTAGCGAGTAATACCTTTATCTCTGTTGGCTGTGGTTTTCTTCTCTTGCAGAGCTTTGAACAATCACTGATAGGTTACGCTTGTCGAGTCCTGTTTGAATCATGCTCAGTACCTCTCCTTCAAGGCCAATGCGATGAATACGGGAACATAATAATGTAAGAAAACCTGAATATCTGGACATAATAATACAAGGGCCCTACCTACTATTGATGAAGTTCCCATCTGTGCGCCATCTCTTTTGCAGTTCCAGTTTAATATCATATCATCCTCGCTACCAGGCGGCAATCAAAACATATTGAAAAGTGCCTGCCGGCAATTGCCCCTCCAATGGCTACAATCGCGGAGGCCAATTACGAAGCCACCAACCAACAGCTCCCAATTGTGGTTACCGGGACAAGTCTTTCTTCTGTTGATTTATCCGGCCGGTCGGCCAGATACAAGACCCGGAGTGTGTCTGGTTTGAGAATGCCTCTTTTGATTACACAGAGCAATGCATCTTCATTCAGTGCTCTTTCCGTGGTCCCCACATAATAAGCTGTTTTGCTGATGGCAGTTGCTGCAGGGTTGCATTTCGTCTGCACGCACAGGCACCCATCGAGGGAACTTTCCTCCCATCTTCTCTTGCTCAATATTTGCGCCACAGCCAATGCACCAAATGCACCATTCCTCATTCTATCAAGTTACCCTGTCCCGTCGCTTTCAGATGAGATCCTCGCAATGTCGATTGTGCAACGGACCCTCAGATCCCCCGTTGTTCCCTGGCCCTGAACAGTTGAAACGGCATGTCATGTCTTAGCCGCATGATCCAACCTGCACTTCTGCGCTGGCTCAAGTGTCATCCGAACTTTTTGCAATCTCGAGATCGCATATGCTTCCACCGCCGCCAATCTCGTCCATCCGGTCCCTCCATATCTGGATATCCCTCACACCTTGGTTCGGGGTTTGCTGACAGCGCTGACAGGCACCAACAGTACCAAACTGCTGCCCCATGCAACATGCCCAACCCACCATCTCGCCGTACGTCCCTGTCCGTGCGCATCTTCGTTATTGCCCAAGCATAAGAATTGCCGAAGCTATATCTTCAGGCGGAACCGAACTTCAGCTTCCTCTCCCCAAGAAGTTCTTGGCCCAACCGAGACAACGTCACATCGGTTCCCGTCTCTGCCATTTGACAGATACCTCTCGGTATGCCTGCTCTGCCCCGCTTCTACTTGCTCGACCCCAGACTCTTCATTCCGCAGCTGCATATTCGGATACCCAACCCTCCATCTCGTCTTTTAATTACCCCAGATGCACAAGTTTCCCAGCCCGCTGCCGTGTTCATGTGTCCGTGTCTGGTATATAGTAAGCTAAGATAGCAGCCAAATATACCCCAGCTCAGACCCTTTTTTGCTTCATTCTTTCTAAACCGACATTCGTTTTTGTGTTCCCTCCCCGGCTACCCTACCCCACGAGCTAAGGTCAACCAAGAAGCTGTCAAACCACTCCGTCGGGACTTGAAGCTTTCCTAGTGTGTATGGTTGCAACACTATGTTGGAGCGTCCAGGGCGTATAGCAGGACAAAGTTGGATCGATTGCTACCATACATAGTCGCCAATCACCATGATTGACACCGCCACCACATTACCACCCAACCCCTCATCAGATTCTCCACCTCCGCCATCATCATCATCATCATCACCACCGCCGCCGCCGCCGCCGCCAGGGGCCCCAGTAGTCGACTTTGCAGGTCTAGCCCATGACTCTCTTGTGGTCAATATCATTGCCTCGGCTTCGATATGTTGGTTCATCGCAGCCCTTTTTGTGGCCCTCCGATTTTACACTAGAGGGGTCCTGATCAAAGTGATTGGGGGCTCAGACTGGAGTATACTTGTTGCCTTGGTATTCTCACGTCTAGCTTTGTGCGAATTTTGCTACATTTTCTAACACAAGGCCATGATCAGATATTCGCTGGCGCAACATGCGGAGGGGTGATTGAACAAGCAACACACGGTGCAGGTCAGCACGTCTGGGATCTTGACCCCAACGATACCCCCTCGGCGATTGCCTGGGGCCGGGCGGCCTGGTATGGCATCTTGTTCTACCTCATCACGCTTTGCTTCTCCAAAATCAGCATCCTGCTGCTGTATATCCATTTGTTCACCTTTAAGTGGGCGAGGTTGGCGGGGCAGATCCTGCTCGGGATTGTGATCATCACGCACCTGTTCATGGCGCTGGCGACGTTTACGGCGTGTTTACCGCTGAATAGCTATTGGGATTTTACCGTGGAGAAAAAGTACTGCCATGCGCAGAGTGTTTGGTGGAGCAATACGGGGATGCATATGGGTTTGTTGTTGCCTTGGGTTCATTTCTCGGGGAGAGACAGCTAACAAGGGGAAATAGTGACTGACTTTTTGATCTTTTTGTTGCCCATGCCGGTTGTCTGGTCCATCCGCCTCCCTCGCCGTCAGAAGCTGGCATTGTCGGGGGTGTTTGGTTTTGGGTTCTTGGTCTGTTTTATTTCTATCCTTCGACTGATGCAGCTTATTCGGGTTCAGACCGACCTTGATTTCACCTACGCCGCCGCCGAGCTCAGCTATCTTACCGCGGTTGAGGTTAACGGTGCTATTGTTTGCGCCTGTGTCATGACGTTGAAACCTTTTATCGCCAAGTTCTTCCCTGGGCTTCTCAGCTCGAGGGCATCGGGATCGTCGAATGGGCAGAGTGGTGCGGGGGATAACAACCAGTATTATAATTACGCGGAGGGGCGGATCAACGGACGAGGGCCTCCTACGATTGGAAGCAGGCCGTCAAAGGGAGTGCGGAATGACTTGGGGCCGTTGGCCAGTCCGACGGATTTGCAGTATGGATTCCAGGGATTGGGGTCGTCGGGGGAGGAGTCGGAGAACTTTCAGGAAAAGGGAGGGAGTAGGAGGAACAGCAAACATTGGCTTGGGGTGGTGGATGGGGGAGCGATGGGGGTGAGGGGGAATCATGATCGGTATGTGGAGATTAGGGATGGGACGGATTCTGGGTGGGCAGTGGATGTTGAGAGGGGGAAAAGCTTGAGTTCTAGTCCTGTCAGCCCGAGGTCTCCGGTTAGCAGGAGTCGGCCGGGGGAGGATGCTCGGATGGATTATATGCTCAGGACGGGGAGGTTAAGTCCTGGGGCTGCGGTGCCGGATGACAGGATTAGGGTTGATACGAGGGTTACTATCACAAAGGAGTAGTAGTGACTTTGGTGACAAATGTTTTCTATTTTTGTTCATGCTCTTCGGGTTCTCGGTGGAAGTTGAATGCCGTTCGGTGTGTCATTGTGGCGGCGGGTTGTTTGGTTTTCAAAAGACCACTAGAACCTGTCAGTTACAAGTTGACGGGTAGGATCGTGACTTACATGTCCGCCACACTTGAATTGGTCCGGGGAGCCTTCCTAGGGCTGACACTAGACGTTTCCAAGCTAGAGATTTCTGTGAGTGACAGGTTCGGACTTTTGCCATCCTTGTCTTGCATTTTCCCCGACGGTGAGATGTCTAAACATGAAGCTGACAAAGTCACGCTAGAACTGAGAGGAGGTCAACCCCCGCGTTTTGGCCACACAGGTATGTCAGACTATCGCATAGGTATGGGGGACTACCACATTCACCATTTTGAGGGACAGTCTATGAGACAACAGAGCAACACTCGGAGAGACGCCGTCAAGTTGCTCGAGTGATCCGTTAGCAGCAGTATTGGACTGACTCCAGTTGTGCTGGGAGCTGCCTCATATTCAAGTTTCGAGAGCAGACGGTCTTGCCAAAGGTTAGCCCAGTTACCAACCAAAACAGGACTCCTACATGTAGCATAGTGCCAAGGGCAAAGTGCGAATGAGCATGTCGTACCAAACTTGGGCGTGATCTGGATTGCATTGCGTGCAAAACAATGGACTCGTGAGGCAGGCCACCTGGATAGCCTCATGCAACACCCTTACAAAGGAACAGGCTACATGGCACTATTGAAGCTCCCCAAGCGTCAACAGGGCATCCCCTGAGAATCCATGACAAACAACCTCTTCAGGAGAGAAAAGCGTGGAAGAGATCCGTCTATAAGAAGGCCATGTTCCCCCACCACACCTCTGTTTTCTTTTACCATCCTCATCACCAACAGACACAACCAACTTGCTCACTTCCAACTCTCAAAATGAAGCTCACCACCCTCCTCACCACCGCCCCCTTGGCCCTCCTCACCACCCTCACCACCGCGGCTCCTGCTCCTGCTCCCGCCCCGGCCGCCATCGAAGCCCGCCACTCCACCTCTGCCCGCTTCTCCAAGTTCACAGCAACCTGCACCTCCACCTCCTGCTCGTCAGTCCTCAACCCCCCTTTCTCACCCCCTCCACAACGACTAACAAACTCCCTAGCTACGCCGCCACCCTGACCCTCCTCCCCGAAAACATCACCGTCAACTTCTCGCACACCACCTCGGGCAGCACCATCCCCGCCAACTCTGGCCACTGGACCTCGAGCAGCGACCCTCTCGTGTTCCTCCGGTGGAACAAGACCCCGTTCAACGAGTACCGGATCGTGGTGTCGGATGTTCACGTCGTCGGGACTTCGGTGATCTTGGACTTTTTCAGCCCCGCGGCCGACTGGGTTGCTCAGCCCAACCCTACTTCTTATGTTGGCAGTCAGACTTTTGAGGCTGTGTAGATAATTGTTTTAGCCAATGGGCTGTTGTGTGGTGGGGGTTGGTAGTCGATAGGAGCAACAAGATGGTTTCTTTTGAGAAATGGTACCAAAGTAAAAGGGGTATCTCAAATTCTTGAAGCTGCAAAACAACCTAATGATACCCATCCATGCAGTTGCTGATAATGCTAAACGCGCCTGTAGGACAAAACTCTACTGCGCAACACTCTCCCTCATCCCTTTCGTCCGCAACGTCATCTTGACCTCCGCTTCCTCAAACCCAGCCACACCCCCGTTCCCGGTACTGCCGCCGATAATCCTCCCCCTCAGATCCTCGCCCCTCCTCTGCCCAATACCACCAACGACACTGCTAGCATCGCTGCCCCTCCTACTCCCTCCAAAGCTACTCGCCTCATCATCTGCTGTCATCCCCGCCACCGTCAAGTTCCTATACCGTCCCGCCCACAACCCCCTCACCCCGCCTCTCTTCCGGTCCGGTATCTCGTCCGTCCCCGCGCTGCAGACATACAGCAGATACTTCAGGTTCGGTAGCGTGTGCCTGATGTCCACAACCTTCAACCCCTGGCTGACACACAACGTCTCGATATCCTTGTTGAGTAGAAACCACCCATAGTCGAAACGGTATTGCGCGCTTGACCCTCCCCTAGGAACATAGAGCGGGAAATCTCGTTGTGTGTCTGGTAGTTGCGAAATCTCATCCCGGATGGTTGACCGAGACCCGTATGGCCGGATGGGATAAGGCAGTGGAACACCCAGGTAACACTGCAGGTTGTCTGTCAGCTGGGCTACATACCCCAGCGCAGCGCTGAGGGTATCGCTTCCAGTTCCTTTGAGGAGTGCGTCGTCGTAAATCGTGTTGGGGAGCGGCAAATCGCAGATGGTAAATGTTAAGGGAGGTGTCCCAGGAGTGGAGACAGAGTTGATGCGCCAGATCCTGTCAAGGTCTTCGCAAATGCGCCGGCGCTGGCCGTGAATTTGCTCTTTTGTTCTGGCAAGGAGTGTCTTGGAGTGAGCAAGCTTCTCGGTGGCGTTGTTAACGTCGGTCTCGGCCCTTTCTTGGAGGGCCCTGCCTTCAGCAATGGCGGACCGCCGGGCTTCGATTGAGGCGCGAAGCTCTTGGTTGCGCGTTTTGGAGGCTTCAACGGTGCGTTTCTGCACCGCTAGATATTTCTCGGCGAGGGCGAGAGAGTCTTGGGCTACGGGGACTTGGTTGGGGGTCTCTTTGGCCAGGAGGTCGTTAATCTGCCGAGTGAGTGACTCGCGGGTGGCTAGAGCGTCTTGAATCGAATTGTCAAGTGTTGCTAGGCGCATGAGGGCATTGTAAGACGACGTGGGTGTCGGGGGCATCTTCTTTGGTGGGGGGTATTTGTTGAAGAGTTCGAGCGAGTAGATGCCGTCAACCATGTGGAAGACCAGGCTGTTCGGTGGGAAGTGCACATTCTGCATGGTGCCCAACCAGTTGAGCGCCCTCAGGTCGACATCGTCCTCCAGCAGCAAGCTCCATGTATCGTGTCTGTTGGTCCATATCTTGATGGTGACTCTCGGGGTCTGGGTAATGGTCGAGTCCAGCTCAGACAGTTCGAATAAGCTAAAGTTAAAATTCTGCCCGGTGCATTAACAGTCTACTCCTCCATTGGATCGTCAATACTTGGAGGTAAAACAAACATACTGTAGCCCTCTCGGCAACCTCGCTGATATAGACGGGCTCTTCCTCTCCTTCGACATGGAGGGAGAAGAATGCGTCGGCCAGCTTGCTGTCGAATGTATCCTCGATTCGTTTCTGCCTCGTCACTGGACTGGCACCAACAAGGTTGGTGCTCCTCCGCCGCCCTGGACCCGGTCGTAGCTGTTCCGAAGAGAGGGCATGGTGTATCTGGGGTGAATTTCGCAGGGACTCGAGCTTGGCAGGGCTCTTGTTAAGAGCAGCATCGTCAATGGTTCGGCCGCGCGGTCGTGTAAAGGCGAGGTTTCTCAGCGAGATGCCTCGAAGATGACGGAGTTTGCGATTCTGGGGCAACAGTTGGGGGCGCGTGGACTCGGCGGACATGGTTTCATATCGAAAACAAGGAGCATAAATTGGGTGAAACTAAAGAAAGAAAAATAAATTGCTTCTTAGCATGACACGCGCGTCTGTTTTTCTCGTCGCATTCTCCCCCATTGAGACGATGGGATGGACGCTTGGGCTGGCCATTGGGAGCTCTCTGCATGTTGCTGGCGGTTGTCTCTTGGCACCCACTGGCGATGACGCACGTGCTAGAGATGGTCCGTGCAGCCCTACATGTCTGCCTTGGCAATGGTTCAATCACTTTGTTCTTTTGAATGAGATGGCATTGCATTGCAACGACTTAACCTGCGAGGTCTACATGAAACTTATACACGATATCCTGGGTCCCGAAAATATGGCGACCCTCCATGTTGATATGGCTCTGCCGGCATCCTCATCTCTCGCAGACTTTCCCTGAAAAATGGCTTCGGCGTTGCCAAACGCTGTCCTCGACACCAGCCAGGAATCTCGTCGCTTCTGGTCAAATCACTGGTCGAACCTGTCGCAGTCTTTTGTCCATACAGCCGATCGAGCTCCTGCTCTTCTGCAGCATTCTTTCGTTTCCTCCAGCACCAAAACAGCCCAATTACCAAAGCCAACAGCACCACGGAAGCTCCCACTACACCAAGTCCAACCTTGAGGTTCGATGACAACCCTTCGCTATCTTCGTCAGAGCTTGCATCAGCTGCATCCGAAGCCAATCCCGGAGCTCCAAGCGTCCTTGTTGGCACCCTTCCTGTCCCAGTCGCCTGGGAATTATCATCGAGCACAAGCGTCTCTTCGGCAGATTCGTCCTCTGTGTCAATGACTTTGGTGCCAGATGCCGAGGCTAGGGGGTTTGATGTTGTTGGTCTGGTGGAGGGCGCTGTTGACCCAGTGCCGGTAGATGATGTGGTGGTGGCTGGCCGATCGCTGCTCTGCCAGTTGATCTGAACCATGGGGGCAAACATGCTGAATGCTGTGATGGATGCTTCAGGGTCTGGGACGGTTTGAAAGCCAAAGTTTTGGCTTTTGCTGCCATCGCAGGTGACTGTTGGAATAGTCGACGATGTCACCACCAGGGTGCATGTTTGCCCGTTGATATTGGCACAACCATACCCACTATCCAGGTCAGTCATGCTGATACCAATATTCTCTGTGTGAATACTAACCTGGGGCAACAGCCAACAGCAATTTCTCCGGCGAGAAGCCTGAATTGGACCGGCCATCCAGACCCCCCACCACTTCCACCTGTTGCCGCACAAGCAGTCGCATAACCCACTGGGCAATGCAGGCCCGGCGAGTAGAAGCCCCACCCGTTCAATGGCGCTTTCTTTGACTCTGCGCCCTCTGAGGTCGCTGGCCAACATGCTGTATCATCGACAGCTCGATTTCGAGAGCATGCTTGTCCCAGATATGCAATACTCTTGTCATCCCCTCCCCCGAACAAGTCCCCAAGGAACCCGCCCCTTCCTGCGCCAACTGCTACTGTGCATTCTGGCGGTGGTGTGAATGTTGTGGTCAGTGGGCCAAGATTGGTGGGAGCCTGCCCGATGAGGACTGTGGCCGACATGGTCGTTCTTTGCTGCGAGTGTTTCCGGTGGTTGTTTTGGCCAGAAAGAGCAGAGAGACCCAAAGTATGGGGGCATATCAGACTTTTCAGATGGGAATCTCGCAAGTTGGCATGCGATCAGCCCTGCGTGTATCCAACACCAACCCCACGCAAGACTCCCTGGCTTCGGTCCCTGGGAATGACTTCATTTGTCTGGGCAAGAGAGGGCCATCGCGTTTCATCTCCCTGGCGTAACCATTCCCAAGGGCAACACGGTGACACCTTAACGCGCTCCTCACTCGCTCGTCCCTTGCCGAGAGGCGATCGCCGGGCCGATCTCAGGGACCTGGTGCCGATCGCTGCCCAGCACAGCTCCGGCCCCGCATTTGAGGCCCCTGAAGATCTGTGCATATCCACGTTACACGCGCGACGCCCAAGTCTTTTCTATGGTCCGCGGTCGATGTGAATTTTCACCCAGCAGGATGAGGAGTTCTTGGTTGGTCAGATTGGACAGGCATATCTGGAAACATGGCGAGCTAAAGACCGCTTTTGCTTGCCGGCGGTTCCGTGATCCGGTGCGCATGAAACATGGCTTCGGCACTTCGAGCTTGGTTCCACAGAGATGGAAACGGTTACCAGAAGACTGGTGACACCCTGTATACCGGTGTTGAGAAGTCTTTCGAAGCCCCTCTATCTGAGGTCACTACTATCCAGCAGACAAAAAACCAAGCACACCATTCCAGGTTCCCGCTGTAGCTGCGCCGTTAATATCAGGACATCAACACAACTCTCTGCCGACCATTGCAAGTGGATGCGGGGTTCGGCCGGCTTCTCCCGATACAACCCCGGCAGTGAATGAGTGCTTGTTTTCATATCGAAAATGCTCGGCTTCACGACCAGATCATGGTGACATGATGCCGACAAAAAACGACCGAGCCGCACAGACAACGTTGCCGGGGATTGGCCGAGCCCTCTGTCAAGTCGACGTCACGGCATGCAGCCCCGCGCTCACACATGGACGGACGAGGAGTCCTGAAGCTTTGCAAGACATGATACTTGAAGGCCAAGGAACCTCGGCAAACAATCTTTTCTTTTCCCCTTTAGCAGCCAACTAGTTGTTGCATATACCTAATTGTATTCACTGTCATGCATGCCGCCATCAGAATGAAACCCGCCGTCTCGAGAACTGTGACCCTAGGCATCAGGCCATATGCCTCCCGCGCCAAAGGGGCTCGCCAGGGTGCCAAATCGGCGGCCTCGTGTCTGAATCGGACCTCGGATCAGCAGGCTCAACACATGGAGTTCACCTCCAACAGATCCATCTTTGGGCCGTCGACACATACAACCGGTACTACCGCCAACCGCCATTTCCCTTCGTCTGCTGCCTCTCCCATTGACGAACGAGCACGCTCTTTCTACTCTACCGTGATCTATCACGGCCAGACTCCCAATAGCGACTATGAGTTTGACGAATCCCAAGTCTTTGGCAGCGAGGTCAAGGTCAACCCGACGCAAAGCGAGGCCAACGTGGCTGCGGACAGAGGTGACATCGATCCTCTTCCACAGGGAATGCATCAGACCATTCTGATGGGGGCTGGAGAGGCAGGAGGACGGCCGACCGAGGCCGAGGAGGATGTGCATGCGGATTTGTACATGGATGACCCGTTGCGCGGAAGAAAATACTGAAGAGGCGGCTGGCCATCATGTTTTCTGTTCAACGAACTACATGTCTATAATTTTGGGTAGACCATGAAACTGAGCATGCAATGTTTGATGACAGGTATTGAGTTATTTGTGATGGTGAGCAGAGAGTCATATCTGTGACCACGCCGCCGATGAAAGGCGCAAACACCATCACGGCATGCCAGATTGTGACAACTTATGAGTCACCGTTTCCAGCAACAATCAACTTTGCGCATATGTCATGCTACATGAAGACCACCATCGTCCAGTTTACCGAAGGTCGACTTTCCCCTTTGGGTTGCTCTATGACAGGGCAACATGGATATCAAACTCCAAACTTTACCTCCTTACAATGTACAGTTCAAGAGGGATACCGAAATTGTCACCACCTGGCTCGCAGAGGCTGGGAAGATACTCAGGCACCTATTCAAAGAGCATGACAGCTCGACTGTTACCAAGTTTATTCCGAAGACGAGAGATTTTGTCCCCATGGCTAAGGCCATCGCTGATTCTCAAGACAAAGGCGCGGGCTGCGACATTTCTCAATTTATTGCACCGCTTGACGTTATCCGCTCGGCTCTTCGCGATGCCATCAAAACTCGGACCATGTTTTTGACAATCTGGGCGAGGATTTCAAAATCCAAGGACAACGATGGACATGCCACGTTTATTTGGGATCTTGAGCAAGTTCGTGATGTTCTTGAGACTGTACAAGCACCGCCAGGGGCCGACCAAAACACGGAGGATGTCGCTTCCAAGGTGGGAAGTCTCAGGCTATCGCGAAGCAATGCCACGTCTTCCAATCGGTACGAGGGTCTAACAGTCTCTCAAACGTCTGATTCCGGTTTAGAAAAGACCGCGAGTCCCGTCAGTGTTTCTCCAGAACATCAAGACGATGAGCAGGAGCCCGCAACGGAGGTTCAATACGAAGCCAAAGACAACCAATCTGATCTCGACACATTTATCCTGTTCGCCTCGATTCACGCTACTGCCACGATCCTTCGCGACTATGTCGCCAGTCTTTGAACCTCGCATCTCAAAGGTGATGCGCATCTCACGTCGGTCGCGGTGGCATCAAACACAGCTATTCAACTCGCCAAGGATATTGAAGTGGAAGTGGCGGCCGATTTGTACCCTTCTGGAGATTTGTCGTGTCTTTCGCTCTTGGAAAAGCTCTATTCTATGCATTGCGACGAAGAGAAGGTTCCGTCGTGCAGAAGCCCGGCCACCCCATTGCCAATGCGGCAGTCGAAACGGGACTGATTGCTCGATGAAGGACTATGTTATTGCCGACTGGACCATGTGGCTGGCTGGGGACATGTTGCAGAGAGGAATTTCTGTCTTCTCGGCTCCTGAGAGCGACACTCTTGCTCGCTTAAGCCATGAATTCGATCGCAAGACTCAACTCCAGGTGCAAGATAGTTTGCCGGGTATGTCAAACAACGGGAAATGGAAAATGGACCGTGGCGCATTCTGTCGCTTCATGTTGGATGCTCGTGACTTCTTGAACGAGGCTCAATCAGCCGCCGTTCCCATGCACGTGGAGGAAGACCTACTACGAGGCATTGCAGCCGCAGGCATCTTCTCCAGCGGTGGGGAAGATCATGATATCGCTTTCCGTTTTGCTCACTGCTTTGTCTTTCGGCATTCTTCGACATCCATAGACTCTTTTCGGCCACGCCTGATGCCTTCGAATTTCTGGATCAGAAAGTAAAGATCTTATCGATGGACTTCAACACGGCTTACGACGTACGTCAAGACTTCGAAGCCCTGTTTTACCAGGAAGAAGATAAACAGGCCAGAAGATTGGTAAATCTTGGTGAGTTCCTCCGCGGCTTTCATCGTTCCGATCCCTTGCACTGTGGTCTATTCATCGTCTGCGTGCGATATGATGATTTGCTCTTTTGCCAACACATCGAGAGAGAATGGTCCTCGCTCTTGCTACCGGGTCAACTTTATAACGCACTCGGTACGATCGCACCCAGCAACCCCTGGGTGGACATGGAGTTTCTTTACGCCGTGCAAGGAGGCAAGACGAGGTGGTTTTTTGGTGACATCCCAAGGAATCCTGACGGCTACTGGAAGCAGGTCGATCTTACTCAGGGGGGTTCCGTGGTGGATTGGATGGCCAACGTGACGGGAAAACAGAAGATGAAGAAATCTTTCACCCATTCTATCAGTACAATCGCGCACCAAGCAAAGCAAGCGAAGCGACTGGAAAGGCGTGCAGCGCGGCAGCTGAATCTCATCAGCAAGACGGTGCCTTGTTTCGATGCTGTGCAGCATGGGCTGGAACCCATTGACCCGGAAAGCGGCCTTTCTTTCAAGGACAATCATCTGACTTTGGATCACATCTTTGAACGCATCAAGAAGTCAGAAGCCGCCAAGTCCAAGAGGCACAAAGAAGCAGTTGATCAACTTTCACGAAAGCTTCGTCGGTCATCCCGCAGACCGTAGAATCTCTCAAAGCCCAATGGTTAGCTGGGTTGGCGGATGCGCGTGGCCCTGCCGGTACTTTTCAATCCTCCCACAACCAACAATTGCCAATACAGGTTCTGGTTGTCACACGTCAACTGACCAATCGGCCACACCACGGTCCTTCTGTTATCTTCCTGTACGTCGAGGGCTAGTAGTGGGAAGTAAGGTAGGTAATTAAGTGCTTTGCGGCTTTTAAAGGAACGGCATTGGCTAACTGGATACATGAAAGATTTTGGTAATAGCCTGAGGCTATAAGCTACGGGCTATTAGGTCATATATAAATATACATCGTGCGGACCTACTTATATTTTTAGATTTTTTTTTAACTAAAGACTTCGAGGCTATTAAAGATTATTAATTAAATTAAATGACTATTTTGAATCTTAATATTTTAGGCTTTATTATATATATCATTTTTTAAATAATTGAAAATAATGTTGAAATAAGTGTTAATGAAGCCTGTAGAATATAGGCTTAAATAGCTATCGGCGCAGTATATTTGTTGTGACCTTCCAGTAGGAGGGTCTTGATGGGAGGCTCCCAGGGAGACTCCCCTTGGGAGCTCGATGAGGCCCAAGGACACTTCCCAGAGGAATGTCCCGTCGAGAGGTGTCACAGTTAAACCAACAGGCAGGTTGAACAGTATGCGGGGCACGGGACGTGCCCAGCCAATTGTTAAAGGAACCAATAGGAAATGGAGCGCCTGGGAGCGCAGGAGCGTGGTGATCCAAGTGATCCTAAGGTGACAGGAGCAATCCAGGATCACTCTTGGCACCGTGATCCATGGTGAGCCTACGCTGGGAGAAGTGATATAGGATCACGCTTGGCATGGTGATCCAGGTGATCCACTGGGATATATATACGGAGGAACTGGTCGATATACATAGATAGTTCCGCAGTATGCAATTCAAGTCACATTCGTTGGTATTTTTAACTATTGTAATTGAAACAAGCCATTTATTGTACACTGTTTAACCGTACCAAACCAGGATTGCTCAGAAGCGCCTTCGACTGGTAACGTACTTTATAAGCGAGTCGGTCATATAAGTGGGCCGGTCACTTTTCGACCGCGACGCGTCCTCCTACACTCAACATCAACTTTCTCTACAACCCAACATGCCTCCTACCTTAAATGAAGCCAGGATAATCTTAGCTCTTGAAGCTATTCAAAAGACTCCGAAATTAAGCCTCCGGGCCGCAGCAAAGCTATATAACATACCATTCTCAACCCTCCGTGACCGACGCGCCGGCCGGCCTGCACGACGCGATACCACGCCCAAATCGAAGAAGCTCACTCAATCCGAAGAGGATGCTATTGTTCAATACATTATTGAGCTATGTACGCGAGCTTTTCCACCAAGATTGCGTGGTGTGGAAGATATGGCCAACCAACTGCTACGTGTACGCGACGCGCCCCCTGTTGGCAAGCTCTGGGCACACAACTTCGTTAAACGTCAGCCACAGCTCCGTACGCGTTTTACGCGTAGATACGATTACTAGAGGGCCAAGTGCGAGGATCCAAAGGTTATTGCCGAGTGGTTTGCGCTCGTACGGAACACTAAGGCCAAGTACGGTATTGTAGATAACAATATCTACAACTTCGACGAGACTGGGTTTATTAATGGGCATTATCTTCGCGGGCATAGTGTTTACGACCTCGGACGGCCTTAGAAAGGCAAAACTAGCCTAGCCTGGCAACCGTAAATGGGCAACCGTGATTCAGGGAGTCAATGCCCTCGGCTGGGCTATCCCTCCCTTTATTATCTTAGCCGCGCAGTACCACCTCGCCAACTAGTATACCGAGTGCAACCTCCCGGCCGACTGGCGCATCGTAACCACCGATAATGGCTGGACTACCAATGCGGTAGGCCTAGATTGGATCAAGCACTTTGACTATCACACAACGTCCCGTACAAAGGGCAAATACCGGTTGTTGATCCTCGACGGCCACGAAAGCCACCACTCGACCGGATTCGAGCGCTACTGCTAGCAGAATAATATTATTACGCTCTGCATGCTTCCACATTCCTCTCACATCCTCTAGCCACTCGATGTTAGCTGCTTTCGGTCGCTAAAACAGGCGTACGGTCGCCAGATCGAGGACTTGATACGCGTGCATATCAACCACGTAAGTAAGGTCGAGTTCCTCTGTGCCTTCCGGGAGGCCCTTTTTACCTCCATAACAGAGAAAAATATACGGGGTGGCTTTACAAGTGCTGGCCTTACGCCGTACGATCCAGAGAGGGTGTTTTCTAAGCTGGATGTAAAGCTTCGTACGCCAATACCCCCGACCTCACGGCCCGGCACTCCACAACCTTGGGTGTTCCAGACACCACAAACCCCCGAGAAGCCAACTTACAGTCAACGCTCATTAAGACTCGCATTACTAACCATCAAAATAGCTCCCCGACTTCAATGTTAGCTGCAGTAGACCAGCTTACTAAGGGTACAATGGCTGTAATGCACCAAGTGGCTCTCCTTCAGTCAGAGGTATCTTCGCTCCGCAAGGCGAACGAGGCACTAAGCAAGCGCCGGAGAGCGAAAAGAACACGCGTACAGCTCGGAGGATCACTTGCCATACAAGATGCGAAGGATCTACTGGACCAGAAGGCCGTGGGTGGGGAGGTAACAGAAGAAACATAGCCGGATGGTAGTGGTGTAGGGGGGGGTCGTACGAAGGTTCGGTGCTGCAGTGTATGCGGTAAGCCTGGCTATAATGCACGTACTTGCTAGGAGGCTGTAGAATCGTCTGATTCGGCTGTTTCTGATGTAATTATAGTTGGTTTCTAGTGTTGTTATGTTGCAATTGAGGATAGTTGTTGTAGGGTGGTGGAGACTGTACGACTCGCTTATATGTACGACTCGCTTATATGTACGACTCGCTTATAATATACGTTATTAAAAGGCTTTTGGTCCCATGCCCTTTCCCATTTTGCCTCTTACACTGTCCTCACTAGATCGCTCCTACCCGCCACTATCAAGCCTTGGCTTTAACAGTCTGCCATCTGCACTTCAAAATGCGCATCCTCACCATCGCCCTGTCTTTCCTTGCAATGGGAACCACAACAACAGCCACTTTCCTCAACTCCTGCAAAGACTGTGGCCTAAAGTCAAACGATAAGAATATTCTCCAGTGCGGCAGCTGCAGACTGCACAGTGGAGAATGGGTCCCGGCTCGGAGCCTGGACCTGGGCAAGTGCTATGTCAACTCCAATGGGGTCCTAAAATATCGAAAGGGGTAAGATTGAGCCATGTCCACCTCCTTTTTGTCTCGGTGCTGATCTAGTACGGCTCCGGTAGCGGTGGATATCAGCACTCGTGTGATCTGTCAAACCCCGGGTTCAGAATTGATGGCTTGGTTGCGGTGATGTGGGTTCGTTGTCGAGCTCTAGACGGCAGCTGGATTTCGTCCAATGTTTATTTGAGCAAGTGGAATTGGAGCTCTTTGTCTGATGTTCTTTGCTAACTAATCTTCAGCTGACCATGTCCACAACGATAATGGATTTCTTCACTGCAACAATTAGTGGGTATGAGTGGTGTGTGATTGAAGTTATGACACTAAGTGGTCGAAAGAGTTTTCTTTTTTGGTGTTAAGATGGCAGAAGCGGCGGAAGTAGATTTAATAGGCCTCTTAACTATTTTAAAGGTCTGTTAACTATCTTTTAAAGGTGATTATCCTTGATTCAATCTTATGGGTGAATCCAGATTGTGCGGTTCAAACTCAAACATGAGCCACGGCCATATGTCTTTCCAGGGTAGCACCTCCTCCCCAGATAATTATTTTGCAAGAAGGGGCAAGAAAGGGAAACTGCTAGTCATGTTACGCAACCCTTCAACGGCAGCTTGTCTGCAAAACAAAACACTCACCACAAAACATCATCACATATCCATAATGCAACTCTCGTTCACCCTCCTCCTCACACTCACTGGCCTGGCCGCCCACGCGCAGATGAGCCAGTGCGCCCGCGATTACGTTATCGACTGGTGTCAGCCTATCTGCGGAGACCATCTCGAGTGCCGTCTCCCCTGCATGGAAGATTGCAAAGACTCCTGCATCATGTGCGAGAACGAGCACAACTGCCCTGATCAGCTACCCGACGTCACTCATATCGTGCTATCAGGGTCTCCTGGGACGACTGAAAAGGACCTCTGGGTCAAGGGAGCGAAAGAGACAGGTGATGATGGTGCAAGTGGCGTGGTAAAGACGACGGTGGTCCCAAAGTTTGAGAGGTCGAACGAGGCTTTGTGGAGGGAGCATCATGTGGTGACTAAGAAACAGGTCAGGAGGCGAGTTTCATTTCTACCCACTCGCTTTCAGGACATGTGGTTGCTAACAAGAGAGCAGAAGGTATCGCCAGAGAGCAGCTTAGATATCATTAGTTACCTTACCTCTACAACTCAGTAATTGACTTCTCCCTCTCCTCAAAATACCTCACCACCGCCTCCACCGCCTCCCCCAACTTGACCCTCCCCGTCGGTTCCCACCCAAGGTACCGTTTCCCCCTATCCCCCCTAATCCTCATGCTCGTCCCAAACCCCTCAGCAATATGCCTACTCCACGCCTCCCCCTCCTGGCCTTCAAACCGCCCCAGTATACTCCCCACCACCTCCCCCAACCCCAACTCCTTGACCCCTTTCCCCTCCTGATTCCTCAACCACGTTTTGCTCGTTTCATTCCCCTCCAAAACAGGAAGCAACCAATCAACGATAAACTCCCTCATGCTCACCTCCCACCCCCCCGCGAAGAAATACCCCTTTTCTCCCCAGATATTCTCATCCACCTGTTTTTCTCCTCTGATACAGCGCAGGGCATCCCCAACGAGCAAAACATACAGCCCGGCCAGCTCCTCCGTGTCAACAAATGTGGTGAGGTTTTTTCCTTGTTCGACAACAAACGCCTGCCCTTGTTGACGAGTGACGTGCATCAGGTCGGGAAAGATAATCGGATGCTTGTGTCTCACACTGGGGGATTTCCCAATGACAAAAGTAGGGGAGATGATGGCGGTGTTGATGCCGGGAAAGGTCGAGACGGTGATGTCCTGGGCGGCGTGGGTGGTGTCGGTGGGGAGGGAGGAGAGGTCGGTGAGGTCGGACCAGATCTTGGGGTGGGGGGTTAGGCCTGAGGGCGGAGGCCAGATGCGGGCTGCGCCCGAGGTTTGGAGGAGGAAGGTTTGGGGGTGGGGGTTGGATGATAGGGAGGGGAGGAGGGTGGGTAAGGGGAGGGCGAAGTCGGGGGCGCAATCTGGGGGTGTTTGTTAGCTGCCTGTTTGGAATGACAGAGGGAGATGGAGAAAAAGAGGGAGGGGAATGTGGTAATGTGGTAATGTGGTGATGTGGTGATGTGGTAATGTGGTAATGTGGTAATGTGGTAATGTGGTATTGTGTTAAAGGGGTATTGTGGTCTTATGGAAATGTGGTAAAGGAGTAAAAGCATACTGATAACAAGCTGGGCCCTTGCGGCCTCTTCAGCGACGATTCCTACGTCCTCAAGAGTCCCCAGGACGGACGCGACAGAGCCCTGGTAAAGGGAGTCTAGGTGGTCCACATCTTCCTGCTGACGGACAAGAGCCCGGATCGGCAGCTCAGGGTGAGCAGCATGTAGGGCCTGGAGAACAGCAGCACCAATGTGCCCCGAGGCACCAATGCTACAACATGTCAGACAACGCTGGTCAGAGGGCAGGGAATGACATACAAAAAGACTGGAATGCCTGACATGGTGACTGTGTATCGACTGAGGTATGCTTGTCTGAAGACACCCCGGAAGAAGGCCATGATCAGTGAGAAACAAGGCCTCTTATACCCATTTCATCTACAGCAACACTACCCTCAGGCATAACCCCAAATTCCATTATTTGTACCCTCCCCCCCTTGGCGAAGCCCACTCCAAGGTTACACAAGCCGCCTTCTTATCCCCTTTAAGGATAATCCCGAGCATGATATCAAGAACAATGTAACCGGAGCACCAACACCTCAGCCATGTCAATGCTGAATTACTCAAACCCCCCCATTCTGCTGCAAAATGTGCCGATCGTGCATGTCAAGGCGAGGTCTGTCGTCATGGGTATTGGCTTGGCACGGAAGCTTCAAGTCACAAGAGGGTGTGCTGCCAGGTAACCCGGAAGGAAGAGCCGAAGCAAAGAAGCCAACCTGCAGCTGTGATTTGATGGTTGATGGTATCTTACAGGTCGCCTATATACAGTACAGTACATACAAAAGTTCTTCTGACGACAAAAGCCACACTCTGTTATCTCCCCTGATGGAAATCTCAAAGTGACACAACCCCTCCTAATCCTCCCAAAACCACCAATCAAGTCACAAGCCACGCAAATAACTCCTGATATCATCCTGATAATCATCAATGCTTGGTATCCTCCTGCGCAACAAACTTGACGCTCTTCCTCCGCTCCCTGCCATCCCCACCACCGTGACCGCCACTCGCCCTATCAGCAGCAGCCATCATTGCCGACCTGCTGCCCGGGCTCGAGCTCAAGATGCTGGCTCCTGGCGTGCTGTGTCTTGTGCTGCTGCTGCCGCCATGAGAATGAGAAGAGATGCCCATGCTGGCCAGAGACTCCCTAACGCTCTCTACCGCCCTGCTTTGGGGTACGCTGTGCTCATCATTCGAAATATTGACCCCGTGGGAAGGATAGTGAGGGTACTGGTGGTGCTGGTCATCCAAGATCTTGCCGCTTCCCGTGGTGCGGTACTGGTGAGGTGGGTGAGGATGATGGTGGCCTTGGAGACCGCCCACTATGCTCTCCGTGTCTGCAGACGCCTTCATGCTGGTTGCATTGCGCGTTGCCTCCCTCGCTGCCGCCCGACCAACCTCTTCTGTCCTGGCCGCAGCTGTCTCGAGCCTTCCCTTTCCGGGCAGACATGTGTGTCCACACCCATCCATGGGACAATAACCATCACTCTGGAACCCGGCAAGAATATCCGGGTCGGTGGAACTGCATTCGTTCTCAAACCCTTCATGCCAAAGCTGGAGGCAGCTAGAATGTCCACCGTGACCGCAGCCAGGACAAATCCACCAGGTAGCCAACACCGGCTCCTCCTCATCACCTTCCTTCATATTGCCCCGCGAGCCGGGCGTGGGAGCGATATCACGCTGTTGACAGACAGCACAAGGGGCCATGCTGGCCTTACAACGTTCACACATCCAGATGGTCTCATTTGACCCCTCGGATCGGTCAATCTCTCTCGGCTTCCGGCAGCTGGAACAAAGGAGGCCAACCTGGACACCTCGTTGAGCCGGGCTAATGACATTCGGGTGGTTCTCGCCCCAGTTGGACAGCACCCCTCCAGGCCATCCCTTCATACACATTTTGCGCATGAGAGCCGCCTCGGTAAAAGCCTGGAGCTTCATCAGACGCTGGTGGTGTTGCTTGAGGATAGCTGCCGCTTGAAAAGAGTCAAGGACATCAGGCGCAAGTAGGGGCTTGAACAACAGGATGATGGCGGCCGCGTCACGGGCTGTCTTGCGAACTTCGTAGGCCAGCGTGGCTGCAATCTGCTGCTCGGGTTGGATTAGGGTTTCACCAGTCCCAAATGATCCATTTGAGGACCAGAGCAAGTGCGGGTAGCTTGGGTCGCCGGGCCAGTGGAGGTAATCCGTCTCTACAATATGGGGGGACAAATCATCTTCGGGGGACCAGTCAGCCTCGACAGACAGCAGCCCCTGTGGCTGCCCAGGAGACTCAATACCGCTCTGTCGGACTGGAGAGTCCATGCCAAAGCCGCTATCCGTTGTCTGTGACGGGAAGCGCGACTCGAAGCTGTCGGTGGTGGTCTGGGTGATGGCGTGGTGCTCATCGGTAAAGGCAGTGTACGATGTCATGTCAGTCTCGGTACGCTGAAGCAATTGCCGCTCTAGATGACGGCCAGGCGAGCTTCCGGCAGCGATCTGTTTGCCACGGATGCGGCTTTCGTATTCGCCGTCTTCGCTTCCGCTTCCGCTGGCACTTGGCTGGTCGCGCCGAATGGCGGCCACAATGGCCTCCCTCATGACCTGCGACGGAGTGTCGCTGTCCGAGGTCCGGACAACGCCAGTCGCCTCCCTGCTTTCGTCCGAGACGGAAAAGAGTCGGGTGAAACTATCATCCGAATCATGTCGCAAAACGGGCGGCTTTCGAACACGGCTGGGCGAGCCGGGCTCTCGAAAGTCTATGACTTTGGTCAGCTTGGGTCTCGTGGGCACGTCAATGGCCTTACTGAGGGCCTCGGCGTCATAAAAGTCGTAGCCCTCGGTGCTGGCATTGGTGGCCTCACTGTCATGACTGGTGACCGACAGGGGCACTGAATCTAGTCGGGACCTGGGCTCGAGGGTGCGAGAATGGGCCGCCGGAGGCAGCGTGAAGCTCTCTGGTTCGATGATGGGTGTGAGCTTCTTGCGCCCATTGTCATCAATCTGGATAACTTGTGTATCGGGAACCGGGCGAGCCAGCGGGGTAGGTTGATTGGAGGTGCTTTCGAGCTCTTCAGATAAAAGTGATCGTGGATGAAGGACCCGGTCGAAACTTGCCAGAGAGGCCATCTTCCGTGCGCTTGCTTCCCCGCCGATCCCAAAGCTGGGTGGTTCGGCACGGAGCTGGCCCAGTGACCGATGTCTAGCCGCATCTTTCTTTTTGATGGTTGAGTTTTGGTACTTGTCCATCCGAAACTCGAGGTGGTACTGTGCGCGACGCTCGAGGAGAAGCTTGATCAGGAAGAGGAGGTTCATCCAGGTGTGTGACAGTCTTGAAAGCCTAACTCTTGCAGCAGCTTTGGCAAAGTGGTCCAAGATGGTCGTCATCCGCTCTGGCAAAGGCGGCCCACCGGGTTTGTAAGGTAGCTCTAGATGGATGGCCTGGAGGTAGTTGAGGCTGAGATAGACATCTACCTCAGCATTGGTAGGGCCCAGATATGTGCCGATGGCCATGGCTTGATTTGGCTGGTATGTACCCGTCACTTTGATCGTGTCTTCCAGTGACAGTGTCTCGCCCATGGCAGGCCCAACAGGTGGTGTGGTGCTGAGGGTATTCGCAGATCGCATGCTCGCTCTGCGTTTGCGGCTGCCGTTGCCTGGCTGCCTGGGGCCCAAGAAGCTGCCAACAGCGTCATCCTCGGAATCACTGCGACTGACGCTGAATCTTGGAGTAGTGGGGCTCGAGCTGTAAGATGGTGTTCCGTGAGTGGAAGCATTGTCATGGTGAACAATGTTGGGTCGGGGGCGGGTGGGCATAGGTCGCTCGTCCAAGCACATGGCGACCTCGCCTTGTGAGGAAAAGGCAAAGGCCGACATTGTTTGGCGGTCCATGACCTTGGGCGCAAAGGAGACGTCACACTGGTGGAAGCCGTCACGGCCAGCGGTCCAGAGGAGGTATTGGTCGTGCCAGAGAATGGAGTTGGGTGCGTAGTCGAACCTCTGGATTTCTTTGTAGGGCATGGTAGGGCGAGCGAGGTCCCAGATGTGAACTGAATTCATGCCAAACCGCTTCATGCCGCTTTCATCGTAGGACACTGCGAGCTGCGAGGCCCGCTTGCCCTGTGCTGTTGCTGACCATTGGCCAGGCCGCCATGCCAGTGAGCCAACGGGGGCAGGTGTTGATATAACATACTTTGGCTTCTGTCTCTTATCCGTCTTGGACATGTCCCAGATGTTGCACTTGCTGTCCAGCCCAGCACTGACAAGATGGGTGCCATCCTGGTGCCATGCAATCGAAGTACAGGCCTTTTCGTGGGCATTGATCCTCAGAATAGGGGAGCTTGGTTTCCGCATGTCCCACTTCAGCACCATCCCTTGCTCTGTCCCGCAGGCAAATAGGAAGCCGTCCTTGGGCGACCACTGGACATGCCTGACACCATCCGCGTGTGACTTGAAGGACTGGAGAGCACGGTATGTTGGCCACGTCCTGGTGTTAACAGGCGTGCGCACATCGAAGCACCGCAACAGACCGTCCTGACTTCCAGACAAGAGCCATGAAGAGTGATGGGGATTCAAGTCGAGAGAGTTGACCTGGCGAGAGTCCTCCCGCATCTGGATGAATTCAAGAGGCGCGCCGACCCTAGTAGCCTTGGCCCGGTTCACATCGTACTGAAAGATGATGCCGCTGGTGCAGGCCGTGAAGAGGACCTCCCTGTTGATAACACTCCCCCACTTAACATCCTGGATAGACAACTGGTCGGCCACGGCACCAGTAGGGACATTGTTACGGTGCGCAGGCTGCGAGGTCAGGATTGCGCGCAAGTCGACTTCCTCTTGTACCCGAAGTCCACCGTCGAGCTTGATCAGCTTCAGCACATGGTGGCTGGCCAGGACAGCGCTTCTCCCGTCAGGCGACTGGTCCAGGCAGGACAGGGGTGCACCCGTGTTGTAGCTGACATTTTGGGGGGCGATTGGTCGGTAGTTATTGGAGGGAGAGCTGGTGACAGTCGCCGAGGCCGTGGACTCGCGCGAGTCTGTCGCATGTTTGCTGAGTAGCTTGCGCATGATTTTGCCCTGGTTGTGGTACATGGCAATGGGGGGCTTTTCCTCGATTCACGGTGGCATGGTTATGGGATCACGGGAGATGTATATGTTCTCGAGTATAGAATCGCATTCGAGGGAGGACAGGGCAGTTCAGGTAGCTAACGTAGCTACGGTAGGTGGGTAGGGAGGTATTCGGGATAGGCACTGGTGGAGAGCTGATAAGACGCGCTAGATATCGATAACAACGGTATGGAAGATGCTGTGTGCTGTGCCTGAGCCCGGCGTTGGCGCGTCCAGTTTCGTTGGTGATGCCCCCGTTCCGTCTGAGAGGTGTTGCTTGCGACAGCTTCAACTGTGACTGCTGCAGATGGAACGCAGCACAAAGGCACAATTGACAACGAGGGACGCCGGCAAAGCTCCGGCATCTGCTGTCAAATTACCCACCCCCCCACGGCAGCTATGCCCCAGCACAACAGCAGCTGAGACAGCTGAACAGCAGCAACAGGGCAGGGCTTATCGATAACACCTACCTGGACTACAGGGCTCCAGGGCAAGGCGAGCTGACGATAGTGTCTTGGCAGCCAGTCTGCAAGCAAGGTTTCACTTGTCGCAGTGCCGCAAGCCAGCTGCAGCCTCCTCCTGACTTCCAACTTTCCCATCCATCCATCTCTGCCCTTTTTCTTTTCAACAGCGCCCGGCTCAGGTCGGCGATCCCCAGAACCCAAGACTGTGTGTAGCACGACGACATTCCATTCATTTTCCACTGGTATCACAGCAGCTACCGGCGGCCAGGGACCATACAAGCACGTTATTTGACAAAAAAAGAAACATCGACAACCTGCACCACCACACACCGCGGCGGCCCGACAAACATGGATCCCGGGAGACAAGCAATGATCAACGGCTGGAAGTCGCCACTTCAGGGCGACAGGGACGCCAGAGACCGAAGAGTAGCGGGAGGAGGAAGAGACGGGGACAGAGAGAGGGACAGAGACATCACGGGTCCTCGATTCGACTCGTCCAACCGTATTTCCAAAACACACCGCCCGCCGCCTTCCAAGAGCACCGGGGCAAACAGTGCTGCTGCTGCTGCTGCTGCTTCTGGACGGTACCTGACCCAAGACCAGCAGTCCGAGCAGTTCGTAGCAGACGAGGACAAGTTCGTCCTCAGCCAGGCAAAGAAGAAGGCCGACATCCGCGTCCGGGAGCACCGAGCCAAACCCATCGACCATCTCGCCTTCAACCTCCGCTTCATCGACACGGACCGCGATATCTTTGACGACCATGATGCCGATGCCGAAATCAGCATTCTCGGTCCCGAAGCCGTCCTCGAAAGTCTTGGTGAGGCGCAGCTCAGGGAGCTCGACGAAGACATCAGGTCCTACCACACTCTCGAGTGCAACAAGAAGAACAAGGAATACTGGACAGCGCTGCTCGCCCTGTGCGCCGACCGCCGTCAGAAACTGAAGCCACAGGGTCCCGAGGGAAGAGCTGTGACCTCGGTGGCGTCGGATGTGGACCGAATCCTAGGTCCCAAGCCGCTGGCCCAGCTGGAGGCGCTCGAGAAGCAGATCAGGGCCAAGCTGCAGTCCAACGAGCCCATCGACACGGACTATTGGGAACAGCTCCTCAAGAGTCTCTTGGTTTACAAGGCCAAGGCTACTCTCAAGAGCATATGCGAAGAAATCAAGGCGGCCCGGGTCGGCTTGCTCAAGACCCGTGACCTGGAAAAGGCCAGGGAATTAGAGGCTTCCGATGGCTACGCCGGGGCGGCGCCGGCGTTGGGATCGGCCGGTTCTTCCTCTAAGCCGGCATCCAGACCATCGGCAGCTGTGATGGCCAGTGCCAGTGCCAGTGCCAGTGCCAGCGCCAGTGCCGGTTCATCCAGTGCTCCACCCCCGGGAACTGCTCGCTTCGCTGTTGTCGGCACCGAAGACTTCTCTCAGGCGACCAAGGCCTTGTATGACCGCGAGGTTGCAAAGGGGATCAGCGAGGGCGAGGAGATCTTCACGGCAGAGGAAGAGGTGCCAGGAATCTCGAAGCCTCTCTGGGCGGACAAGTATCGGCCGCGAAAGCCGCGCTACTTCAACCGCGTGCAGATGGGATACGAGTGGAACAAGTACAACCAGACACACTACGACCACGACCACCCCCCTCCCAAGGTGGTTCAGGGCTACAAGTTCAACATCTTCTACCCCGACCTCATCGACAAGACCAAAGCACCGACATTCAAGATCATCCGGGAACACGGCCGTAGAAAGGGAGAGTCTCTAGCCCCCGCAGGGTCCGAAGACACCTGTCTCATTCGTTTCATCGCCGGCCCGCCCTACGAGGATATCGCCTTCCGCATCGTCGACCGCGAATGGGACTACAGCGCCAAGAAGGAGCGTGGCTTCAAGAGCAGCTTTGACAAGGTATGTACATATGTCTGTGACCTGTGCAACACATTATGGCGCTGCTTGGCAGGGGAACGCTATGCTGTGCCGCTTGTGGTGGTGGTGTGGTGTAAGGCGCGACCCAGGTCTCGACGGCCCAACTGGGTAATCATCTGCCTAGGAAGGCAAATGTGCGCCGCGCAACAGCAGTTGACGTTAGACACGCCCTCGGTCATAGTCAGCCTCCCCTAGCCAATTCGCCCAGGCTTCATTTTGATCTCCCTTATGCGTCCTCCTCTGTGTTACGAGCGCGATGCTGACATCTCTGGTTTGTTGACAAGGGCATTCTTCAGCTCCACTTTCAGTTCAAGAAGGTATGTCAGAAGGAACCGCTATTGTGCGCTCACATTGTTTGGTCAACTAACGTTCCACCAAAGATTTATTATAGGAAATAGTGTACGCCAAATCTCTGGTCATCCCTCACCTGCCGCCGCATCGTGGAGATTATCGACAATACCTACCTAGCATCATCATAGCCCGTAAGAGGAAGGGTGGCCAGGGCGATGGGCGACATCGGCCCGTAAAGGGGACCCCTTTTCCCCGGCGCCGTGGGGTCGGCCACCACAGAGAGACAGACAGACATGTAAGATCCACCGCCGATGTTGCAGCACAAGACCGGAAATCCGGCCAATTTCAGAGCAAGTTGTTGTTGTCCGCAGTCACGAGAAAAGAAGTCAGCAAAATCTCAAACGTCAGCACTCTTCAACCTCCCCTGACTCTTTCTTGTGACACCACCACCTGGCCAGGTCATCATATCCATTATCTCCGCCGACATGGGGCCTGCCCCGTCACGTCTGAGGATGCCGCCTCCCGAATCCGGAGCGTGGAACATGATCGCGCCACTCATTTGTTCGCTTGAGCAGATCGCCTTTCGGAAAACCCTCGCCTGCGCTACCGAGACTTGACCGTGACTGCGTCTTGGCAGGCCTTTCTCTGCGCCTGGGATAGATGGGCCTTTGGGGCCTTTCGCACGTGTACGTGGAGACGGGCGTCAGAGATGGACAGCACCGGAGGAGACCGACAGATGGCCCCGGGACGCTTGGGACGCTGAGGACGTTATGGACCCCCGGGAAAGGTCCTTGTTGACTCCGTGGGGAGACGGCTTCTCGCGCCCTGGCTCAGCGGCTGGCTGCCAGGACTGACAAGCATCAACAAGGCAGCGCAAATGAACCTGCATCTCTTTCTCCAAAGCTTCTAGAAGACTGAAACGCGCTTTGCATAACCACAAATTGTTGCCAGGTCCCATGGTCGTCCATCGCCGTCCATCGCACGGTGCAGAATGCCTCCTGTTGAGGCAGTGGCCGGGTTTGTCATTGGACATGCTCAACCAATTGGCCCAAAGCCGTTTTGAGCCAGCATCGTTGATTGGTCCCCCCCATGGCGAGAGGGCCGGTGACCTCTGCACCCTTCCGCAAGGCCTTGTCCTTTTTTCTTTTTTTTTCTCATGTTCCCGCCATTTCCACTGCTCTTGTCCGTCAAGTGGTAGGAGGGACCGTGGGGCAGACTGGCGGAATGGAACGGCTTTTCGGTCTGAGTTTGGCATGGCTCACTCCCCAGTCGTCGTCGTCGTCCATAACCAGCGGGGAAAACCAGAACGGCATCCGGATCATGCACGAACGACTATCGACCTCGACAAGCTGCAGCAAGGGAACAAAAGAAAAGACAATAAGTTTGTGTGAGCTTTTCTTCTTTGCCGCCTGTCGCCTGTCACCCGTCACCCGTCACCGCCCTTGAGTCTCGCCTGTCTTGTGTCTACGCAGTTACGGCTTCCTGCTTTTTTCGGTGGGCCAGGGCCGGCCGTGTCGATCCCCTGTCGGATATCTGTCACTTTTCTGGCTGCCGTTTTTTTGGACTCCAATGCAGACATAGGCCATGAGGCTACTGGCCCAGGCCTCCTGGAGCAACGCCTCTCGCTCTCTCTCTCTCTCTCCCTCTCTCCCCACGGCAACACTTGTGCCTGGTGTTCGTATTGTACGGGTACGATATAGCTTTGGAATTCTACTAGACAGCCACACTTCTGCTCGTTTGCATCGTGCTCCTCTTTTTAGCATACAACTTACCCACACACCTGCAGCCTCAGGGCACACACAAGCAACCCTCTACGTTACACTCACTCCTCCCTCCCCCCCCACCCACCCACACCTTTTTCCCCGAAGTACACTCGCAGTCTGATGGTACTTACCTAGCCGCATACTACACACATACCATTTCCCCCTTCACCCCACGTACAGCACCTGGGTACACACACACCCCGTCTGCTCAGAGGATGCTGATGTATAGGGCCTAGTCTACCAAACAATGTGTGCTGGCAGGGGGCCCCTACCTTGCACCCGCTTCCTGGTCACTTGCTAGTAGTCAAGTCATTGTCCCCTTCTACCTCCACCCCTCCCCCTCCTTTTCTTTCTGACTATTATATCTTTGCCCGTCTTGGTCTTCTAGATCTTGACTCCACTGTCCGGGATACTGTCTCTGCGAGGTACCAAGATACATTCTTCAAGTGAGAGAGAGACAGTGGTCCTCTGCTCTGGGTCTCAACCGTCCACGGTCACATAATACCCGGGGTCACCTCCGGCTGATCGCGGACCAACTGCTCGACCTTGCTCTCTTTCT